ACAATCAGCAGTTAAAAAAATTTCACCGTTGGATATTTGGTTAACATTGTGTAAATTTTGTACGCGAATATTCTTGTAGATCTATGACAAGGGCATCTTGATGAAACCTTAGAAAAAAAAACTCTTTCAGCTTTAACATATACAGACAGAAATTTAAGCTTTCAATTCTTTAAAAATAAATAGAATAATTATTAATTAGTTCATAATTTGTGAAAATTATTAGCCTATGATATTGTAATAACTACATATTTATAACAATATTATAGTATACAAATACATTAGAGTATACAAATGTCTCTGAGTATTTCTGAGTATTTCAAATGCACATTTCAGATATCTTGGACATCCATAGTTCAGCACTTTGATCCTCGTCTAGTAAAAACTAATTATAATCACGAAGAAGTTTCTATTATTGAGAATATTGAAAGTATATTACTCCAACATAGATGTATATCCATAGAAGGATGCCGAGGCAGTGGAAAGACGCACTGTGCAGTCGTGGCCATGCATTACTTGGCAAATGCAGAAAAATTAGCTTTCATTACTTCTCCTTCACAATGGGAAAATAACCTTGACAAAAACCATGACAAAACTCATGTTATCCTTGATAATGCTGATCTCTCTGATCCAAACTGGGTCAAAGTTATACAAAATGCATGCGAAAAACAACAACAGAGATTTGTTATTGTTACTTTTAAATCTACTTCAAGTCACGGTATAGAAAATGTACATCTGCGCAATTACCAAATACAGTGGAATTCAGAGGACCAAGAAAACTTGAGGACGCTGTACGAAATAGTTCAAAATCCTTATTATGACGATAGGATTGGATTTCCTTTGTCTTGCTCAATGCTTCGAAGATGGCATGTGGAATACTCAAAGAAGTTTCAGAACCCAAATCACTACTTTGATGAAGTGCTCCAAAAGATAGTCAAAACTGACTTTGAAGAATTTTGTAGGATTTGCAGTGTTGCTATGGTCGTAGGGGAATGTGATACTCTTTGTTTGGAAAGTCAAGATAAAAAAAGAATAATAAATAATATCCTTTGTTTAAGAAATATGCGAAGAAATCCCGGACACTTTTCATATAGTGATTCAGTTTTCCAGCCAGAGGAGGATATTTTAAAACATTTAAAATGGATGTCATTGTCTGTGGAGAATCATCTGCGATTGCCAGCTCTGAAATGGCTGCTGTCCTATGACCCTGGCTTGCTATTGGATAATATCAGTGTGTCGGTCTTGGTGACTTTTGCAAAACTTGGACAATGCGATAAAACAGGAAGGCGACTGGTAATAGGTGAACAATATCACCTAGCGATTATACAGAGGATTGCCTGTGGGTTATCCGGAATTGACAAAGATATACTTGAAAAATCCCCTTTAATGAAAGATTCTGACTTTTTCTCAAAACTTTTTAAGCAGTTGTATATGATATCTTCTTCAATTTATCCCTGTGAAAAAATCCATGCAAATTTTGAGAGGGAAACTATGGCATTTCGTTTTCTTTCAAAATTAGACGATTTTAAAGGGTTTTTCAAGAGTTTTCTTACATGGAAAAACAAGAAAGAAATGTTGGAATTAAAATCAACTCTGCAGTTCTATCTTGATACGAGTATGAGTGGTGATTTTCCCAAAACATTCTCATTCCGACTTAAAGAATATGAGGATTGGTCAAATATTGAAGCAAAATTGTTTGCCGGTGAAAATTGGGATTTTGCTGATACAAGTAAGCACTAGAATTGATTTTGTAGTTAAAAGTTTCTCTAAGATTGTAAAATTTGCATACGGTTTCGTCATACATATATCTATATGTAGAATGTAAATTATTTGTTTTCTTTTTAGTCTTCCTCTGCTATGATTCACAAGACTTTCCACGATATGAATACCACGTGTCATTGATACGAAAACTACTTGAAAGAGTGGCAGATATAGAGAAAACTTCAAAGGAAAGAAATATTGATACCAGTGATGACACGTACTGGTCATACCCATTAATTATGACACGCGGGATAATTTCAAAGGACAATATCGACTTACTTTCAAATGAAGGTTTTTACCAAGAAGAGGGTAACTAAAATACTACGTGTTTTATCCATGTTCTTCAGTATTAATATTATTGATTAATTGATTGTATATTGTTTAACGAGAATTTTTCACTCATATGGAGACGCCACCACTTGCCAGTGGAGAGCCGCAAATTTTGTCCTATACTCGACACTCAAGACCATTGATCAGGGAGGGATCTTTTTCGTGCCAACACCTACTGCGCCATAGGACCTCGGTTTATACGGTCTCATCCGAAGGACCGGTCTCCACGTCCCTCAGTGGGATTGGAACCCGCAACGTAAGGATCAACTCCTTACTTAGCGACTCTAGAGCAGACGCTCTAATCACTGCGCCACGCGGGCGACTATTAAAATTATTAAAAAAGATAAATAAAGCATTTAATTAAGACAATCATTTTATATTTTTAACAGTCATCAAAGAATCCGCATTTGTGGAATATCTTGAGGACCATTCTCCGTTATGCATCGTTTGTTTTATGACTTCGAAAGGAAAGCCAACACCATCAGAGAATGTCAAAAAGGTAAAACAATTATGTAAAAATATCTTAACTCTGGAAATGGAGGGATAATTTTTGAAATAAATTCTTATGTGAGTGATTTCTCTTTCAGCTGCGAAGAACTTTGCCTGATTTAGCGAAACGTCATAGTGGTATTTCGCTAGTCGTCTTATTGGTAACTGATCCTAACTGCAAGGTGCTGACTGAAGAATTGTCTTATAGAAATGTTCAGATAGTACAGGTGTCCAATAGAAGAGAGGATGTGCGAGAGGCTGTTACTTCCCTCCTTGAAGAAAAGTTACTTTGCTTTATTGAAAAGATGGCAAAAACTCGCAAGAGCTTAACGATTAACAGATCTCTATTGACTCAAAAGAATGCGATTTGTAAGAGATTAAACCGACGAAAGTATGCGACAGGTAAAAGGAAATCTGAAATGAAACCGAGTCGAGTGATCCCAAAGATGATGAAGATGGTCTTGGATCAGTAAGTACGTTATACATTTTATATCAGAAGAATGAATGGTCATTTAACTAAACGAATTTGATTTTATTTGCCAGTATTAGATTTTCAGGAAGTCCAGTTAAGCACATTCCCATATACTTTCAGGCACAAGCAATCCATTGTTAGATACGGCTTTTCGATGGACAAGTTTCAGATATATGTTCATGAAAAAACTTGCCAAGAGGTTACAGAGAATATTTGGCAGGAATTGCAACAATTTCGAAAGAGTGGCGAATTTACTTGGAAAACAGAATTAATCTCCACAACTGGAGAATGGGATGTACAACCTCATTCATTTGTTAAGCAAGGTGATGTGTGTTTCTCATACCGTGGTCAAGGAGATATTGCAAGTGATTCAGCCATGCAAAGAGGACACCATGAAGGAACTGTTGGAGGTTTTGCCAAAAGGAAGAAAGTTGGGGAAAGAGATGATCTTGTTGTTTTTAGTTGTAATCACTTATACAAGCCCAAAGAGAAAATGTATGCAAAATTTCATGTAAATGCTAGACCTCAGCTGGTTGGAGAATGTGAAAGAAATTTTTCTCCGAGAGATCTTTCTCTCGTCATTACCGAAAAAAAGCTTTATGGCAATTTTGATCAAATTTTTAGAAACCCGAACGATGATAAGGTATCGGCAAAAATTTATGAATGTGATTTAAATGATTTGGTGGGTGAAATTGTTCATAAGAAGGGTGCAAAGACTCACTGGACGGATGGAATTGTCAAAGGTGTCCAACATTTCAATGATCAAAGTAATAACGGCTCTTTTGAAGTTCTTTTTATAAAAGGGACAAATGATAGCTTTTCACAGCCTGGGGACAGTGCTGCGTATGTTATTGTAAATGGATATGACACTGACCTTAAAACGATAAATATCATTGGAGTACTTCGTGGAAAATGGGATCCACCTCCACAGCAAAGAAATTTGGTGCTGTACAAAAGCGAAGAACCGGATGATGAAAGAGAGAAAGAAGATGATTCAGATTTAATCGTTTGTGAGGATCTTAACTCTGCCATTAACGCATTAGGTCAAGAAGGATATAGCATAACATTTCATGAAAATATTTAACTAAAGTGATATCATTTTTGATATAGTTTTAAAACTTATCAATAATGCTAAACATTTAAAATATGCATCTTCAAGTATTTAAAGTTTCTGTATTCCTTTAACATATATATGTAAATATTATGGTTTCTTCAGCAATAATCTATCTCAATTTTGTGTCGTTAATAGGTACAATTGAATTTGTATTTTCAGCTGCACTAGTCAAAAATAAAAGCTTACATGTAAAAGCAGCATACCCATCAATCTCGTCCTATTAAACTATTTGTCCGTATTTGTGTTTGAAATTTTCAAAAAAAAAGTATTCCTTCTTTTGAAAAAAATTGTCTTTTACGTATTTTTAAAAATAATATACAGAAGACCTCTCAGGAATTTTAATTATGTTAAAGTTTTTTGAATTTGTAGGATAGTTATTGTTTTCTAAGAATATTAATTTTTTGTGAAAAGCTTTCAAAACTCTATTCTCCCTGACATGCCTGAGTCACATAGATTTTCTTAAACTTTATGCATCACGTATGAAGTTATAAATTGTATTTCTTGTTAATTTTACATTTCTGGATTAAGAATTTTATAATGAAACAGTTCTCGTTTTACCATTGTCGCAAACTACAGCCGATATATACGACCCTGTTTAGAGATTTATTTGCAGACTGCAGACCTTGACTTGAGGCGATGCCGATTTACTAAAATTGCACGTACTTGTTTTATAATCTTTATTCGAAATATAGAATTCATATTTCATGTAAATGCGTGATCTAAAAATATCTAATATTACTTATATGTATCTTTCTATTATTCATCGTGGTAAACTCAAGTGAGTGAAAAGCATATAAAAGCCTTATTTTAAAATTAACATTATAGTTTCAACAGTACTGTATAGAAAGAAAATACAAACTCATAGTAATAGTTAATAAACATTCAAAGGTTAATTTTCAAAGAATAAATGAATTAATACGATAAAAGGCATTGCTAATTAATTGATCACCACTATTTTAAAGTTAGTATCAGTAAACGATCTACCCTTCCTTCGAAGTTGGTTTCAACGAATTTAAGTTTTTGACAGTACACGATCTGCAAGGGCTCTTCGGATGATACTGCGCTCTCTTCTCATTCCACCGAAAATGGAACTATTTTCATTAACTCTTCTGGACAAATATGGAAGAACTTCATCAACAGTACCATAAGGTATTGATTTATGGATCATATAGCCAGTCTGACCTGATGAGAAAGAAAACAAAGGGTTTTGTATCTAAGTTTCAAACATAACTTTTGACACTTTGACTTAAAATCAAGGAAGACTTTATGATCAATGCAACCTTTGTTTTTGTAATTAACATACAACAATCATTGGATGTATGAAATCTTATTAGCCTACATGTATTTCCCAAATGTCGATGAAATTATAATTATGTTTACCCAAAGACAGGGATATGAAGTCGGACATTCCATAAGTCTGACCGAAGAAAACCTTCTGTTCCTTACTTCTTCGTGATATTCCTAAATCTGTCATTCTGAAACACGGTTTTATTCATTAAAAAGTTTTGTATAAGCATCGAGGACACAGTGTTAGACAACTTAGGAAGTAGTTTTGGGAAACATTTCAAAATTTAATATCTGTACCGAAAGCCATATTTAGAGCGCTGTCATGGAAAACGCAACAGTTCAGCTCTTTGAATAATCAGCACTTTTACCTGGATATTGCTCTCTTAATAGTGGCTTCGTTGTGTGAAGCAATTATCGTGCTGAATTTTCCAGGATGTTTTGCGATGTTATCCAACATAATGTCCATAGAACGATAATAATTTGCTGACGTTTTCTCGAAAGTTTCGCAAACAGGATCAGGGTAGCCTTTCTCTTTTGCCAGCGACCTTTCTTTGTGTAAATAGGCACCCCGCACAAGTTTAGCACCAAAGGATATACCATGTGCCTGCATTAATGCGATGTCTTTTGCGAGAATACTTGGAGTTTCCTGTAGTGAATAAATTGAAACAAGTTTTTTGTAATGTAGCTAATTGTATGACCTTAAATGTCAAAGAAGTTTGGAACCAAGGATATGCCATGCGCTTGAACAAATGCGGTGTTTTTCGACAGAATATCTAGAGTTTACTTTGGAGTAATCTTTGTGACAATTTCTTCACAGCAAAATATATATTTTAAGACAAAAAAGTAAAAGAAAACTGACCTTGAGGTAATTTTGGTAGGTATAAAACACAAGTGGGGCGGAACCGTTGCTGTTCATCATCATGGCCAGAGTCAATAAATTTAAACACGGGTTCAGGTAAGTGTACTCTGCATCCACCATAACTATTACGTTTTTCTCCTTAGCAACCTTTAATTTATAAAAAAGATTGTATGAATATTGCCCTTCCTTTTAATATATTTTACATTAAGTACATTACCTCACAAATCTGTTTCATTCTGTATAACGCTTTGTTCAATTGTTGGAGTTCTACGGATTTCAAGTTACCCAGCTCTGTTATCTGCAAAAGAATGAACTTTTTCCCAAATATGTCATGTGAGAAAGTTTTCCAAACATAAATGATTTCTTTGGAATTACCTATTGGAAAAAAGCTTTTATGAGCATTTATCTCCTACCTCATTGGATGTGTTCATCGAGTTCGCAATTTTCTCCACTACATTTTGTTGAGCATTTGGACGTGGAATTTCCAATGAAATCGCTTTCTGTATTGTCATTTAGTAAAAAAGGAAAAAAAGTGTAATTTCTAGTTTACAAAAATTAAGAAAGAAAACATTGGATTTACTCCATTATAAAAAAAAGCATACATTTGAAAAATCCTGGATAGATATTACATGTAGATACTAGTAGATATGATGAGAAAGTTTGAAAAGAAAAATTTCAATACAAACGCAAAGATCGAGAGGGAACAATCCGGACGTTTTGATGTGCATCATCGGGTTCTGGCTCCCAAGTTTTGAAGTCATTTCCAAACAATCCAGCATTATCTTCAGATTTTTGTCAAATATTTGATCAGCATCTCTGTAAAAAACGCTCCTTTATAACATGTAAAAAACAATAATTTAATCAAATCAAACTATCAAAAAACATCATCTTTAAAATAAGATTTTTTTAAAAAATATTATAAAAACGTTATCTTGGGGGATTCATTCATAATCTTCAAAAATAAAGTCATAACTAAGCTTCAGCAATAAAACGTTTCTTGTACAGGAAGAGGAAAAAAACTCTCATACGGTCCGTCGTCTTTCACGTCTTCCTCCAACGCCACCATGACAAATGGTCCAATTCCGGCAGCTTGCAGACAGTCTACAGTTGTCTGAAGGGACGCCAGGTCATGGCCTCCGACAAATTGTCTGTAGAAGGTTGGGCGCATCATCATGTTGAATAAAGGTCGGCCCATTAGTCGACGACTCCATGAGAGAATCTTAATTAAAATAAGATATGAAATTCCTAAAATTGATTTGAAAAATATGTTTCCTTGTCAAATATTTCTTTTGAAACGGATTCCTGTATTTAATATTTTCATGAACATAATCATCAGGAATTCCATTTCTTTTTTGTAGTATTGCAGAATGGCACATGCATCATGTGCAGCATATCTGTTTTATTTAGTTCTTATGATATCAACTATTTTTGGTATTATAAGAGCATTTGGTTTATGATTGTCAATCAGTCTCTAAATGTTAAGTCAAGGATTAACAAAGCAAAAGAAAGATGCAAGTTCCAGATCGGTTGTACTCGATACTATAAAAGATGTAGTGAATATACAAGGAAAGTTTACCACTTCTAAAGCAGTTCTTTTGAGTTAGTTCACAGAGTTTTCAGTTGGCTTTTTTCTTTGACACTCAGACGAAATTCGCCAAATGAAAAATATACATGAAATATATACATTTATAATTTTTATATAGATAAATTCAGACGCAAAGTTTTCACAATTAAAAAAAAGGCATATAAGACAATAAATGCTTAGTATTGTCAACCTTTTTATGCGGTTCATCACTTTAAAAAAAACATTTACTTACATCACTTCGAAAAAAAAAAAAGATCCAAAGAACTCTGATCGATGTATAGTAAAAAATTCCAATTTTACTTCTCGATTAGGTCCTCAATTGAAAAATACATCCTCTTACCTTGTAATTGTTTTTAACGAATTTCTCAACCGAGCAAACATTGAAAATAAGCAGCGCTCTCAAAAGTTCCCAGTTTTTCTTCGATTGACAGGCTTTGACGGCATCTTCAAACTCCAGTAGTTGTTGCTGCGCAGTATTTTCTGGAACTGATGCAAGGTCCTTTCGAGGATCTGCAATTGTGTGTTGAGATTGACAAAAAGGAAAACGCCACTTTAAATTCCCTTCTTTGAGATTTTTAAGCACCGAAATCCTACTTAGCATTGCTGAAGTTAAAAGTTTAAGTAAAAATGTATTATGTTTATCATGCTAGTGTCAGTCTAGAGCAGATCATATTCGTGTTTCTGATACCCAGAACAAGAGCTGTATATAAATATTTTGTTTGGGACGCTTGGGTAATTTGTAATAGATCCAAATGTCATCCCATGGCCAACAATTTCAAGTATCAGCAGTAAAGTGAACTGTGAAGTAGATTTTTTTTATCCATCTTACATGACAGATTCCTGCCACTGTAGCTGCACTTTAACTCAAGAATACTGCAGGAAAAAATAACAATTGACTCTTTCAAAAAAAGTGGTTGTTTACTGTATTTCTTTTTATAGATATAAGGTAGGTCATTATTTTCAAATATATGTATGGCTCACATATTTTTCGAAAATAAACAAAGACATGGACGACTGACATCCGCCATCCCCTTTTCCCATTTCGGGCAACGTCAAAAAATAGTGATTCTGTTGTAACTTGATTCACATTTGGGTCAAAAATGAAAATTCCTGCGGACATAAACTGTTTTGCTATCAAATGACAGAGAAAAGATTGTGATATCTCTCAGGATATAGTCAAGTAAACTAAAAGTTTAGAACGCTGAAAAGACATTCGCTAAATATCTCAACTGTTCAAAATGGTGTCTCGCTGATGCATACAATGCTTCTTGAACGAGCATGAAAATCATTTGAAATTTGATTTTCATATTTTTACAGGTCTACAAACAGTAAGACCATGGATAAAGATACTTCATGGTCACACAACAATTAAGGTATATCTACTCCATTTCTTTAATTAAAAAAGTTTTTTGGCAATATACAATAGACTTACAGTCCAAATAATCTCAAGAGTATAAGAACACACCAGGTGTCAAATAAAAGAAAAGGAATACACAAGGTATGCGAATAATCTGAGGTCAAAATAGGGGAAATAAACGTTTGGATATTTTTTTTTATACAAATGTGGTTTTTTTTTTAAATCTCGGTCTATTTAAAAAATGGAAAATAACAAAAAAAAAAAAAAACTATTTATTACAAAAATGAAAATATTTTGAAGTTACAAGTAAAGGGCTTTAAAAAGGGTGATTAACAAGATCAGTTTCCAGAGTTAAATGTAATACGAATACATCTTAATTCTCCTATGAAAGGTAGATGCATGAAAGAATTTGACAGTAAATAAAGTTAAAGATAATATTAAGATTCTTATCAATACTATTGTATTTGTTTAAAATAAATATAAATTTGGGCCCCACTGGAAACATGAGTGGGGTAGGTACCCTGTCTTGCTTTAACTTTGTGGCGGGTTTGACCGGTCAACAAGGGATGCTCTCTCCTCCAAGGCACCTGATCTCACCTCTGATGCTTTTGGATGTCCGTGTTTGCTTTCATTCCCATTTTTATTGTTTCAATAGACTTTTGAACTTGATAATTGTATTCAATATCTACAGATTTCGTTTATCCCAAACGCATTTCTTTTTCTCCCCAACCTTCTCCCTTTTAGTACAGTTGACATCTTTGCAGCACAACATAATGGAAACGATCTTTAAAAGGGGCCAGTTCTACAAGAAGAATGAAACCACTTACTAATAATATGAAATTGACACACAATATCTGTAGCATTTACTAGAAATCCAGTTGTTTAACACAGAAAGAAGTATATTATATGTGTATAGCGAAACCTGATCTTTTCAGTTTTAATTGTTCTATTGTGTGCAATATACAGCATAATATTTACCACTGAATATTATAAATACTTGCACTGTACAGAAATTACACACCTCTACAATTCAAAAATAATTTCTGGTATGTCTTTCTTAATTTCATGAAACTAAAGACCCATTAACATGCCGAAAATAATCTGATGCATTTTACATCACAGTATCTAAATTGAAAATTGCAACTTGCGAACCGGGTAAATTCAATTATAGTTGCATGCAATAGTAAATATATGCAACAACGGCTGCAAAAAGAAAGTATAAACCATTAATAATTATGTGTACTACTTTCACCTAATAAATTCGACGATATTTATGCCATTTATCGGCGGTAAAAAGAGCTTTTAATTTTGACGGAAGTTCAGAAACACTGTAAATCTCATGGTTTTGACTCTTTCAAGAAAAGAGTTTTCGTGCCTGATAAAATGATCAAGTCCAGGAAACCATGCATTTGATTCAAGAAAAGAGTTTTCGTGCCTGATAAAATGATCAAGTCCAGGAAACCATGCATTTGATTACTTAAGTATAATTATGTTGCTAAAAAAACAAACAAACAAAAAATCATTCTGGAATTTTATTTACATATAGATGTTTACAATAAATTTCAAAGGCGTGTATAATCAAAGAATCATATAATTTAAAACATTAAAATACATTACTAAAATACACATAATACGATTTGAAATTTCAAAATATGTACATATGTAGGAGTTATCGAGGCTTGTTCATATTTTAAAATAAAATTTTAGATGATATTCAACCGTGAAAAATTTCTGTTAATGATCCCTGTACCGTTACTGGCGTAAATTTAACCGGTCAGCAAGGGCTCGGCGGATGATTTTGCGCTCTCGTCTGATACCACCAAATATGGAACTATTTTCACCGACTCGTCTGGACAGGTAAGGAAGAGCTTCATCGATAGTGCCATAAGGAATGGACTTGTGAATCATATAGCCAGCCTGACCTGAAACAATGCAAGATATTTGTAATCAAACGAAAATGGTATATTAAACGTTGCAATACAATACAAACCTTGTGTATATTTGATGAACCTTGTGGTTTATGAAAAATTTTGTGATTAATCAAAACTTACTGTAAATTAAAAGTTTTTTGGTATCATTCACAATACTTTTGACATTAATCGCGATTTTTATCAAATAATATATGTAATATAATATTATATAATATAAAATTTTCATTACATAGCAACGTTAACAAGACTTGTATATTATTGCAAAGGATTTTACACATCATAATTGCAATTTACCTCAAAATTACTTCAACAATATATTATTTTTCCATTTTATCTGAACAATGGAATTAAAGACATCATAAACATTTTTAATGTTTTGTGTTGTCCACTTTTTTTTTGTTACCTAAAGATTGTGAAATAAAGTCAGACATTCCATAGAGTTGACCAAAGAAAACCTTTTGCTCTGTGCCTCTTCGAGGAATTCCCAGTTCATTCAGTCTGAAATATCATTAAAAACAAATGTAGATGTATATGTGTATCTCTGCTTGATTTGTTGTTAATTTCATCTGCCCCAATGGGATTTTAAGAGAAAACTTTGGTAACAGATAACTCCATCTTTACATTATATTCCTAGACATAAAACACACTTGCAAAATATCCTTATTCAACCATATTCAAACAGCGTAAAGATCTGGTCAACCTTAAATGTTTCATACTATTTAATGTCTAATGAAAATATTACTGTACCAGCATAACTCATACTTTTATGAGACCACTGCTCTTAAGCTTTACTTAATTTGTCTCTTAAAGAAAAGAATACAAATTAAATATGGGGTTCACCAACTCACTTGGATATTCCTCTTATAATGGTATCCTCGTTGTGCGAGGCAATTATCGTGCTAAATTTTCCTGGATACTTCGCTATGTTATTCAACATAATGTCCATTGAACGATTGTAATTTTCGGTTGTCTTTTCGAATGTTTCGCAGACAGGATCAGGGTAGCCTTTCTCCTTTGCCAGCGACCTTTCTTTGTACAGGTAAGCACCTCGCACAAGTTTGGAACCAAAGGATACCCCATGTGCTTGAACAAATGCGATGTCTTTCGACAGAATATCTGGAGTTTCCTACAGAGTAAACTTTGTGACATTTTCTTCAAAGAAAAAAATTATTTTGAGATACAAATTCACAATTAAGTCAACTGACCTTGAGGTAATTTTGGTAGGTATAAAATACAAGTGGAGCGGAACCATTGCTGTTCAGCATCATTGCAAGGGCTAATAAATTAAGACACGGGTTCAAATACGTGTACTCCGCATCTACCATAATGATCACTTGTTTCTCCATAGCAACCTATGATCAAATTTTTATTATATATAGAGCTTGCATTCAATATTTTTTTTTATTTTACTTTATCATCAAAATCAGTCACGTTCAAACCACAAAGTCATGTTACCTTGCAAATCTGTTTCACCCTATGTAACGCTTTGTTCAATTGTGTGATTTCTATAGATGACAGGTTTCCCAACTGTGTTATCTGCATGAAACGATTTTATCGTAAATAGTCCTGAATGGTCATCTATTTTACACAAAGAAGTTCATGTGTATAAGGATATTCCAGAGAATCATTAAAATTGTATAAGAGTAATATATATTCCCACCTCTTTGGATGTGTGCATGGCATTTGCTACTTTCTCTACGAGTTCTGGTTTCTTATTGGGGTATGGTACTTCAGTCGAAATCATTCTCTGTTTTGCAATGTTTTCAAAATGAACAGGACAAAAAATACAAATCATAAATTAAGGTTTGCAAAACGTAGTTCCATTCACAAAAGTTTGTTTTAAACGTGTATCTATTTTCCACCTCATAAATACGAATAGTAAAATTTGAAACTGCCTGTGACCCGTGTCAGTGTGCTTGGGCTTATCATATTTCGTCGTTGTAGATAATTTTTATTTATTAAAGGAAGATGAGGTTATTAAACTTTTTGAGGATAAATGTAAAATTATCATACGAACACAGAGATGGAGAGGGAACAATCCAGACGGTTTGATTTGCATCATTGGATTCTGGCTCCCAAGTTTTGACGTCATTTCTATACAGTCGACCATTATCTTCAAATTTCTGTCAAAAAGCTGATCAGCATCTCTGCAAAATAGAAAGTACATTAAATACACTGATCCCAAAATTATCAGAGAATTCAATATTTTTGTAATGAATTGAAATTTCATGAAAATAATATGCATATCAAAATACACGAATTAAAGATCTTCATATGCAAATCATAATAATCTTAATGCAAAGTATCCATATAGTGCTTTATTTTTCGCTGAATTCCTCGCTCCTCTACTTACGGACCGTCGTCTTTAACGTCTTCTTCCAGCGTCACCATGACGAGCGGCCCCATTCCTGCCGCTTGCAGACGATCAACGGTTGCCTGGAAAGATGTGATGTCATCGCCTCCCACAAATTGTTTATAGATTGTCGGACGCATCATCGTGTTGAATAGAGGTCTACCCATAAGACAACGGCTCCATGACAAAATCTGTAGTAAAATGTTGTGATTTTGAAACAATGACAATGATGCCCCGAATGGCAACTTATGTAGAAGGTTATTTTTCACAAAAGAGAGTCAAACTCCAAAATCAAGAGAGTATGAAAAAGGGGGGTCGTGATGGTTAACACCCAAGGAAAGAATACACATGAGATATTTGAAAGCCCTAGAACAAACTGTTCAAAAGTTAGCACAAAGGTTAACTTATTTTACAAAAGTATGTCAAATTACAAGGTCCAGGTCATAGGGTCAAAATTCTTAGTATTAGATGAAGGGTCCTGTCACAAACTAGAGGTACTGTGAGCAATGAGCTCACTAAATGATACCCCCCGTCCATATGAATATCATAGCAGTGTCCATGTTTTGCTCTGGAAAAATCCAAAATATACGTCAGATTAAAAAGTAAAATAGGAGGTGCACAATGGCAATATGTAATAAAGATTCTGTGAAAGTTTCGTTAAATTTCACTCAGTAGTATAAGAGGAGTTGCGGATAAGAGATGGGTACCCCAAAGCGTAACAGACGGACGGACAGACGGACGGACGGACGGAAATACCGATTACTATATACCCTCCCACTTTTCAAGCGGGGGGTATAATAATACATCTGTGAAACCCTTGTTACTCGACGTTCCAAAGTTATGGCCAAGGTTGAAGTTAAAATTTTGCAAAAGTGGGTCAAATTTACCAAACTTTTACCCTGGCCATAACTTTTCAATAGTTGATGCTAGGGCTTTCATACTTCACATATGTATTTTTTATAACAAAAATTTTCCATGGATTAAATATTTTTTTACCTTGACCTTTCAGTTGACCCAATTCTAAAAAAAAAAATAACCATAGAGATAACTTTTAAAGAGTTAGTACCATGACCTTCATATCTAAGAAGCATATTTCCTGTGACAAGACCTTCCTTTGGATACCAACAAATTGCTTTTGACCTTTAGTGACGTTCAAGTTTGACCTACTTTTGAAAAACTCTAACCTTGGCCATGACATTTGAAACTTGCTGCAAAGGTTTTAATTCAAACATTTGCCAACAGCTGTCATAGGTTCCACAAACTTGGTTTTTTTTTCGTTATCTTTACATTATGAAAGATTTAACGAGCATGTAATATAAGCTTTCTTTAGTTACATAACTTTAAAAATATGTGTTTTTAAACTTACCTTGTAATTATTTTCAACGAATTTCTCAAACGAACAGACTTTGAAAATAAGAAGGGCCCTCAATAGTTCCCAAGTCGTCTGCGACTGGCAAGCTTTCACGGCATCGTCGAAGTCCAAGGTCCCAGGAGAGACCTCTTGATATGGCAAAAGCCGACGATCTTTTTCGGGCCCGACAACGGTACCGGTATGCTGTGCTCGATAAAATGGAAAAATCCATTTTAAATTCGTCTTTCTCCAAGTTTTCAATAACGAAGTTCCTCTTTTCATCGATGAAGTTTAAAATTATAACTACTGCGTCCTGTCCTACTTGTAATGTAAGGCTACACCAGCTTATTTTGTTGTTCATGAAACCAAATATGAGAGTTTCTACAAAAATATTTATATTGAGATGCTTGGGTAGGTTTGTATGTTACCTAAGGCTATGAAATCCGGGTATTTACAATACAATATGTTACATTATTTCAGTCCCTAAAGTCAAATTCCTAAATGAAAGTAGCATAGATTTCATATAATTATAAATTTTTATAATCCAAATTTTATAATCACGATCTACAAGAAAGAACAAATGTACATGTATAATGTGTATCTATATATAAATGACAAACAAGGACGTCCGTATTAAGGAAGTTTGACCACTGTATTATAATTATACAAATCAATTATAACGAAAAATTCCTGAATGATATTTAATATAGTAGTATTAAGGTACTCCGATCCTCAGGTTCCGAAAATCAAGCATTGACTAATTGAAAATGCTCATAAAATGTCTCGGAATTCTTAAAGTAACGTTTTTTTCATACGCACGATGATTCTTCAAACTTAATCTTTAAAGGTAGTTATTTTATATATATAGGGTAAATAAGAAAATCTCGAATAATTTTTTAAGAAATGCGAATACAAACACTTACTATGCATTTTCTAATTCAAATTTGATCAACAAACACATTTTAATAATAAAAATCCTACGTATCCAGGCTTTTGAAGAAATTACACAATTTTTATACATAAACGTAAGGTGTTTTTTTTCTTATATTTACTTCGATCACCGTAAATCACTTTTAATTTCATATTATGTTAATAAACATTGGTATCTATGGTTGGATTAAATGAACCTCAATTTCTTTAAATATGTAATTTTAAAATACTTTTATGGGGTAAAATTTTCGACTTTTTATAAGACTTTTCTGAGAACTTCAAAGAACCTTCAAGCACAATGTGAGGTATAAAATGAAAATTGTTGCACGAAAAGATTAAATTTTCAAGCTTCATTTTGAGACTTTTTGAATTAAATTATAATTAAAGAGTTATCATTCCTGACTGAGGATCGGAGTACCTTAAGCTATCACCAATTCCTGTATAATCTAAATATTATTTTTTATGCCCCCTGATCGAAAGATCCCGGAGGTATATTGTTTTTGTCCCGTCTGTCTGTTTGTCTGTTGTCAACTTTAACCTAGTCCATACTATTGAGTGGGGGGGCTATGGCTTTCATATTTCGCGGGTGTATTCCTTGTAAAAGGCCTTTTTTTGGGTACCACCAAATTTGACCTGCGAGTTTTTTTTCCTACTTTTACATGAAAAATAACCCACTTTAACCTTGACAATAACTTGTAAACAGTTGTAGCTAGGGCTTTCATACTTCACATGTGTATTTATTGTGACAAGACCTTTCAGCTGGTATTAATATTTTTGACCTTGACCTAAGAGTTTGAACTACTTTTTAAAAACTTTAACTTTGGTCATAACTTTTGAACAGTTAGAACTTTGGCTTTCATATTTCACTGGTGTATTCCTTGTAACAAAACCTTCCTTTGGGTACCAACACTTTTGATCCTTTGACTTTGACCTTTGGAGTTTGACATGCATTTGAAAGAATTCGACCCTCGCCATTAGCTGCCATACGGGGACATCAATGTTTCACAAACACAGTCTTGTTTCTACATTTCATGTTTCTGTAATGCAGAACTTGCAGCGTATCAACTTTAAATACGTAAGCAGCACTTGAAACGCTCCTTACACGTATTTAAATTCTGCGTAGATTTCATAAGGTTTTTTTCTTGTTATCTTGGAAACTTGCATCTATCAGCTTTATATTACAGTAACTTCAATTTTCTTTGGGGTAACTAGTGGCGCATCATAAAAACTAGGACTCCCTCCTTCCACCGTATAAACCAATAAAAGTTCCAAAAAAGATCCTTCATTGCTCTGAATTGGCAGTCTTCCACTCGTTACTTGTAACGTTATTTGTGTGATGTTTCAAGATTTGAAAGAAGCAGCATGCACATTCCCTTATCTTTCCCCTACGAAATATTTAGAGGAATTTTGCTTTTGGACCTTTTTTATGCTCTGGGGTTTACTGTCTTTGAAAGAAAATTTACCTTTTACAGAAAATTTGTAAATCATTTTTTAGCATAGTGCTGGGTACTAGATTTCAAATGCAGCACCAGTAGATTCAACTGATCTTATATGCTTTTCTAGATCCAGATTTCCAGAGTGCCCCCCCCCCCCCCGCCACGTAGTAATCAGCTTAGGAGCTGGGGGAACATGAAAATATTCATTGAAAGGGTGCCCCCCCCTTCCATACACAAACCACATATCTTGTTCCTGGTCAGTTTGTTTTGAATGATTTTTTGTCAAACTACACATGCTACATACGCACCCACCCCCTCCGATTTTTTCATATTTCGTGTAAACACAATTCATGTGTGAATTGTAATATCTTTTTAAATATTGAAGCTTTTATACTTTTTGTGTGTTCATCAATACGTTTTATGTATTATGTACGTATGTGGTCTTTTTCTCCATTAGTTAACTTCTTCACGCTATTTTGATCGGGTTCAATATTCCAATAAAACAAACTCCAAAACAACAACAATGGCAGATCTCAGCTGAAAAAAAAGATTTGACATATTTTTACTCTGTTTGCACTTGTGCACTAAAAAGAAATAATGAAATCATGTAACATTTCATTTTCAATAAGAATTTCTAAGTGAATCATTATGGATCCATATCGTATGACGGACAATAACAATTCGGTGGGTACAATTTGATTCGGTATCTAGCATTGGCTGCAGTGAGCTTTCTGGTCTTCTGTATATCTAATTTAAGAATTTAGCAAGGTTGTTCAGGGGATAGCTAAGTTTTTGTCTCTATGTTGCCTGATTTATTAACGTTAAGAAACTTTTGAACAACGGGCAGCAAAATCGGATGTTTGTTTTATATATTGATTCATTTTCATTAATTATAACACTTGGATATTATAGTCTTTAGAGTAAAATATCTGTGTGTTAACATTGAGGAAAACCATAAGTACCTGAGTATAGTGTTGCTATAATCAAAAGTGGTGTGCGGTATCCAAATTGAGCCTTCCGAAATTTAGAAAAAGGATGTTTTCTGAACGTTCTGTATTATAAATCAGTATAATAAGTATAAGTGCATGATCAGACCTGACATCTATCCTCATCTTTCAATTAGCAGAGGAGAATTGATGTGTATGATTTTTGACTACACACATCATTTTAGGATCCTCTTTTTAAGATTCATTTGAATTTTAAACATTTCTTCATGAAATAGGATGATGCAACAATTAAAAAAAATGATCAAAGCTTCTCGAAATATCTCACTCCAATATATGTGGGATGTATCATGTAGCGGCTTATTTCAGAAAAAAAAAATTATTTAATTTGTGTGTGTGTTTTTTTTTACAGTTTCCATCTGTCATAAACTTAAATGTTGGAGGAAAAATATTTGCCACTCGTCTGTCAACATTGCTGAAGTATCCAGATTCAATGCTTGCTGTGATGTTCAGCGGTCGGCATGTCATTGACAAGGATAGTGATGGAAACTACTTCATTGACAGAGATGGAACTCATTTTAACCACATTTTAAACTTCCTGAGAAATGACCAGGACCTACCTCCTGTTGCACTGGCAGAAGCAGTCCTACAAGAGGCCATGTATTATGGAATCACCCAACTTATTGAAACCCTGAAAAACTCGCCCCCATTATTTGCAGAGTATGTTGTTAGACAAAATATTCGGGATAAAATTCAAGATTACGGTGCTGTGAAAGCCAAATTGATAGACCTTGCTAGAGAGCAGGTGGTAGAGAGTGGTGCCATTATTTCAATGGTCAGGGTTGCTACCACCAAAAATCAGCCAATCCCCAGAGACCTGCAGTTTTCCAAACAAGTATACAAACAATACTACAGAAAGTTCAGAACATACAAGTCTTTTGAGTCGTGCTTTGGAAAATACCATCTTCATATCCCATGTGAAAATATCAAAGGGTTACCTAGTGTTGTGATGGATATTCTGGCCAGCTGTTTGAGCTATGACTTGAATAAGGAAGGCTATCGATGCGCTCACTCTGCAGAGGGAATTCATGATGAAGAACATAAGCTGAAGACCATAACATGGTCAGATGATGAATTTCATGTCTGTACTAGTTGTCATGTTTTTCGGTTTGATTGGCTGGACACATCACTTCAGTTTTAGATTTACATGTTGAAATGGTTGTTTTTAGAACATTGGAGTCACTTCTTCTGATTTCCTTGTGTAATTTTTTTTTGAATATATGCTTGAACATGTAAATCATTGCATTATACAGGATATTTACCCCTTTACCGAAACAGTGAAACATATTTTTGGCAGATCATAGGGATTACTCAGTCCTTGAAATAATCAAAATTACTTTCTTTGTTGTTTTAAGGAAATGTCACCTGGTATTTCAGCATTGTAAAAGACATGAGTAAATACAATTTATTATACTGCTTTAGATGTACTTAAACAGATTTTTTACTCTTGCCATGATTGCATACCTGTAAATGAATTTTTACCATGGGAATTTTATATTTTGCCCTATCGGTGTTGCTTTCAATACTCATTTTTCAAGTCTTAAACACATTTTTAGGTAAATACTGTATAATTATTAACATTTTTGTTTTTAAAATTAGGAATTTCAGATTTTTCAATACTATTTTGCTTGTAAAATCTTGGCTTACAGCCACCTCAGCTGCCTGCAAATGGTCATGTGTAATAAAAAATATATTGAAACATATATTGTATATCTGTATGAATAAGAAGTACATATGTACATGTAAAATGATGAACTTCTACTTTTTTTATTTAAAATAAGCTTCATTTTCATCATGCATCCCTTTGTTAAATCTGAGTAATTATGCACTTAGACTGAGTTGGATACCTTTTGCTGAACTTGCAAGTTTTATGAAAATTTTCCTATTTCTATGTTTAGGAAAAATCCTATTAGGTTTTCTATGTGTAATTATTAACTGTCTGTTGTACTAGATAAGCAATTTGATGCACTACCTGTATTAAAGGTATGGCATCATTTGTTACAAGTGTAATATGTAAGTTGTCCTTGCTTAATACTATACAAAATATTTACAAATTCACAATAAAGCTTATTGTAACTCCTTAAAACAAATTTTGTAATATTTAAGTTGTCCTTGATTAATACTATACAAAATATTTACAAATTCACAATAAAGCTTATTGTAACTCCTTAAAACAAATTTTGTAATATGTAAGTTGTCCTTGATTAATACTATACAAAATATTTACAAATTCACAATAAAGCTTATTGTAACTCCTTAAAACAAATTTTGTAATATGTAAGTTGTCCTTGATTAATACTATACAAAATATTTACAAATTCACAATAAAGCTTATTGTAACTCCTTAAAACAAATTTTCTCTATTACCGGTATAAATACAACCAACAAGTAATTTATTATCTGGTGTGAATGAAAGAAAAAACACCTAAATTTTTTAGCTCTTACTGGAGGTTTGCTGTAATCATGTTTCAAACTACTTAAATGTATCTTTTATTACTTAAACAATTTGGTGAACTTGTTTATGTTTGCTACTAGGGAGCCTTAATAGATTATCCTGTGTGTGTTTTTCATGTTTTAAATGAAAAATATAATTGGTTATGTGAATTTCTCATATATTGCGATATGCACTTTTTCCTTGCTTGAGCATACCCAGACTAGCTACATCTGATTAGATCTCAATGACATATTTGTTATGAATTATCCTAGAGATGAATAAAATCTACATACCACTACAATGTATCTTTTTTTAAGTTATTTTAGCTCACTTAGAAACACCAGCCTGAGGGAATTTTATACCTGAAACTGAGTTCTATGCCCATCTCTGATCATACAGTAAAACTTGTTTAGTGTGAATGCAGATACCTGTATTGCGAATTTATAGTGAAGTTATCTTGGATCCCTAGCTATGTAAATTTAATGAATTCCTTATACCAATATAACGAATTAGTATTATTACGGTTATAGAGAAGTAATTTCATAGGTCCCTTTGACTTCACTGTAAATGAGTTTTACTGTAGCTGTATTGATGATAAATTTACTCTCAGAATAACTTATAACTTTCACAATGAAGCCAACAAAATTAAAATAATCTTATGCAAACACCTGATACAATATTAATATCAATTTATTTTATTATAGATCACACAATAACTAAGGGGTCTTGATCAAATGTTGAAACCTGAAATTCAATTTTAGATTGGTAGATTTCAGTTAATTTTTCCTTTAATACTTTGAGAAAACCCCTCTCTGTGTTGCTATGATCACATAATATGACAGATGTCCCAGAATGCACTGCGTGAAGAACGTCATGGTGACCCATTTCTCCTGTGACATATAATGACACATCTAGATTCTTTAAAACACCGCTGCCTGATCCAGCACATACTGCCACAGAAGAGATGTTTTCACATCCCACCCCTAAAAAAAAATTTTTGGATAAAGTGACAAGAATATGAAATTACATGTACAAGTATCTAGTACCGATATATATATTTAATTTAAACAATATTTTATTCACAGATGTTATTGTGAATAGGATTGGGCAGCAGGCGCAGCCTATTTTAGCCCTCTCCCTACATTTAGGTCAAGGTACAAAACAAATAGTGATAATAAAAGAATGTACAAAAGAAGAGAGAAAAAATACAAACAAAAGTGAACAAAGTAACATGAAGAAAAAAAACAGAAAAAGTCATATATAGAAAATTAAACAAAAGAGAAAAATAGAATGAACAAAATAACAACTAGAGGTACTGTGAGCGATGAGCTCACTAAATGATACCCCCCGCCTCCCATATGGTTATAACTGGTGAAAAAGTCCATGTTTTCCTGTGGCCGGGAAACCCAAAATATGTGTCGGATCAAAAAGTAAAATAGGAGGTGCACAATGGCAATATGTAATAAAGATTCTGTGAAAGTTTCATCAAATTTCATTCAGTGGTATGAGAGGAGTTGCGGATAAGAGATGGGTACCCCAAAGCGTAACAGACGGACGGACGGACAGACAGACGGACGGACGGACGGACGGACGGACGGAATTAACGATTACTATATACCCTCCCGCTTTTCAAGCGGGGGGTATAAAAAGGGCAAATTACAGGGGGAGACAAAATACAAAGTAGTACCGGTTTGGGAGTACTAAATTATATCTATATATAGATATGACAGTGTTTATATAAAACGTTTTGTTACTGCTATAAATGTATGTACAGCTTCAAATATTTGTATATTAATGTCAAGTCCATGGTTAGAACTACCATTTAAAAATAAATCACATTCAGGAATATTATCACAGTTTATAATATTATGTGTTGATTGAAAGAGTACATCTCTTGGAATTGTATATTTTGGACAGACAATAAAGTAATGATAGGCATTTTCAATACAATCAGTACAATGTTCACACATTGGAGTTTCAGCTAAATGTTGATTATATAAATCTGCTTTCAGATTACTAGCATTATTCCTTTTCTGGCAATGTATTATATTATACTTTCTTATTCCAAAATTAAAAAGTTCAATACTTTTCCTACAGAAATGAGATTTTAAAAGACTTTTGAACGAACATATTCCTGGAGCATTTTTAATATAATCTGGCAAGGTATTCCATTGTTTGACTGTAGAGGGGAGAAAACTTTCCATATAAGATGTTGTTCTAATATTAGGAATTTTGAATTGAGCATTATTAGTTCTAAGATTATACGAATGACTTGATGGGCGATAAGGTTCAATCAGATCATACAGATACTGTGGAGAATAACCATTAATAATTTTATAAAATAATATTAACTTATGAATTTTTCTCCTTGTTTTTAGGAGATCCCATCCAAGTTCATCATACAATTTTGTACGAGAAGAGTTACACCTTAATCCAGTTATAATTCTACCTGCTTCAACTTGTATATCTTCTAAGAGTTCAGAATCTTTTTCAGAACAATTGTCCCACACTACATCAGAATACTCTAACACAGGTCGAACAAAAGCAAAATATATTTTAATGAGTGTTTTACGTGAAACCTGGTATTTGAGCATTCTAAGAATGTTTAATCTTTTTGAAGCTTTTTCGTGTATTATCTGTATGTGTGATGTCCACATAGCATCTCTTTGGAAACGTAAACCTAAATGGGTATGAGAATCATTTTGAATAATAGGTGGGCCATATCCACCAAATTTAACAGGGGAATATACAATATTTTTTCTACTAAAATCTAAATTTACAGTTTTGTTAGGATTAAAATCAACTAGCCATTTCTTTGACCATTTATCAATATGTTCTAGATCATCAGTAAGTGATTGTGTAATATTTTCTTTGTCTACAATAGCATATAAAGAAGTGTCATCAGCAAAAAGTCTTATATTGTTGACTAGATCATCACAAATATCATTAATATATAAAAGGAATAGGAATGGTCCTAGGACAGAACCCTGAGGAACTCCAGCATTTACTGTTTCAGAGTTTGATGTAAAACCATCTATTACAACTTTTTGTTGTCTATCAGACAAATAATTCTCAATCCAACCTAGTACATTGCCATTTATACCATAATTTGATAGCTTTGTTAAAAGGCCTTTATGCCATACTCTATCAAATGCCTTAGAGATATCACAAAAAATAAATCTTACATCTTTACCTTTATCAAGATTCGAAATGATAGTATTATATATTTCTACCAGTTGATTAACAGTTGAATCTCCAGGTTGAAAGCCAGACTGATATTTGTATAGTATGTTATTGTCCTTCATAAAGTTATATAAATGTTTAAACAGTATTTTTTCCATCAATTTACACAAGACACTTGTTAGAGATATTGGTCTATAATTAGATACCTCTTGAGCACTCCCTTTATTTTTAAAGACTGGTGTTATTTGCGATAACTTCCAGATATCTGGTAGTTTTTTTTCCCTTAATGACATATTAAAGAGAGTTGTTCGGGGCTTTTTAATAGATGTGGATATTTCTTTTAGTACTCTTGGAGATATGCCATCAGGACCAGGTGGTTTACTGTTATCAATGATAGTTAACTGGTCATAAATTTCAGCTTCGGTGATAAGCATTTCAGAGAAAATGTTATTTTGTTGTGGTGGACCAGGTCCATGAAGAGGAATATCTGGTTCATTATTAATGGAGGAAACTTGGGCAAAGTATTTATTTAGGACTGTAGCTTTTTCAACTGGATGGAAAATAAGTTTACCATTTGATTTTAATGGTGGTAAGGGTACATAATTTTTATTAAGTTTTGATATTGATTTAACAATTCTCCACCATTTCCCAGGAGGAATTGATTTATCGATCATTGAAGACATTTTTTTATTATACCTTTCCCGGGATTTTCGAATTTCATCAATGACTGTATTTCTAAGTTCTCTGTATGATTGCCAATGCAGAGGATTGTCTGTATGTTTTGCTTTATAGTGAGTTCTATTTCGTTTTCTCATGAGTTTGCGTATTGTATTATTCATAAAAACTTTATCCCTTGGTCTGATGGTAATTATTTTCTTAGGAATATGTTTATCAATACACTTATTTAAAGTACAGACAAAATGAGAATATATTTCATTAATATTTCCAGAATTGAATACTGTATTATCCCAGTCAACTTGTAATAATTCCTCATTCATTTGACGATAATTTGCATTTTCATAATTTCTCACTTCTCTTTTGTAAGCATACTGTTTGTATATAGTGAATTTTACTTCTACACTAGTCACCGATATATATATAAGTGCATAATGAGTGAACACAGGTTGATAATGAAACTTTCATTTCCAAGTTGATTAAAAAAAATAATTTTACAGCAGATCAATCTCAGAGATTATTTAAATGAAGAATTTATTGTTACCTGTAGCTAGTCTGACATGTGCTAGTCCTAGATGTCTCTTCACTCTCTCTACTGCTTCAGACACAGAAATTGGAGAAGTTAATTTCCCTATTCTGCCCATTCCATAACCTGGTTTAGGTGCCTACATCAAAATAAAGATTGTATATTTTTTTGCAGTATCATTCATTCTCTTTAAAATATTGTTTTTTGTCATACCGGTAATTGTTTCTTCACAAAAAAATTGCATGACAAAACTTTATAACTTTAATTCTTTAAAAATCTGTCTTAGAATGTGCTTACTTTCTGTAGATCCAATAATTCAGTACTTTGAATTTTATCACCGAAACCTTGAGTACTTTGTAGAATTGTTGGTATGGTTCCATTGGAGCAGAGAATATTAATCTGTGATAGGTCCTGGTTTCTGTAAGTAATTTGTAATCAATTATAAATCAGTTAAATTATTTACAAATTGAATAAAATATGTACCATATATAAAAGACAGTTTGTGTCATTCAACTTTCATTCATCTCTTGGAAAACTCTTTCTCCTTAAGTAGTTGATGTAAATATAAGTACATTGTGTACTTATATGAAGTTAACTTGATTATTTTTTCATTAAATTTTAGACATAGTTGGGAAATTTGATCTGTTTAAAAATAAATTTGACAACTAGGTACTATAAATCACGTTTTATACGCGAGAACTTTATTTTCGCGTAATAACGTGAGACAATGAGCTCGCGAAAATTTCAATCTCGCGTTTAAAAGTATTCCTTACGATTATATAGAGGAAAAACAACAATTTGTGGAAACTATGTCTCGTTAATAAAGAATGAAAGACTATCTCGTGAAAATTAAAAGAAGAATTAGTGATCTACAGTATGGTAAAAACTACATACAGTTCCTGCATGGTAACCAGGGTATTCTGAATGCCATTGACAACTTTATATAAGTTATCCTGGACAGATCTGGGAACTGTTATCTGCATTCTTTTGTTCTGGGGTCCTGTTGATGCCACTGAAGGGGTTACTGGACTTGTGCTCTTTGTATCTTTCATGAAAAAGGAATTTCCATAAAAAAATTCTGATTGAAATTCTGTTTTGTAAATCTATCACAATATTAAAACCTGCATTTAAATTGTTGGTTGTTTCCCTTTGTGGTTAACCAAAAATTGCCATTACCTGGACCAAAAAGAATTTTGCTTTTACAATCATGCTGATTGTTTTATGAATATCTGAGCAGGAAAGAAAATAATATATTTTTGTTAAAAACTTTCCCTGAGACTGAAAATGTGCTGAATAAATAAACTTTCCTTTCCCCATAATCAAAGCTCACAATGTTCAGAGAGTATTGGGAAACAATTTGAATTCATGTTCAAATGAAATACATGAACTTACCAAATGCTTCCATCAACCAGTCATTAACACCCCCAGCTAGAGCGTCATAACTTGTATGTGGGGAATATATAGCTATCCGATTCTCTATACAACCAGTGATGATCCTATCTTTCCAGTTCCTTTGCTCTAGCTTCTTCATAGGAACAAAGATGGGGGGATGGTAGGAGATAATCAGGTTAGCTTTCCAGGCCTTTGCCTCCTGAAACACCATCTCTGTCAAGTCATTTGTTAACATCACCTTTTTAACCTAAAGGAAGATAATATTTTCTTTTACTTTTATTTATTTTCTGGATAAAGGAGGAAAAGTTATTTCTTGAAAATTGTGTAATATTTTAGCATGATTTTCCTGGAATTTTTGTTACATTTAAATCTTTTAACTTTTTAAAGTGGAATCTCATGTCCATAGTAAGACATTTGAAGTCTAAAAGATTGTTAGAGACCCACAGGTGATCTTGTCTTTTACTTTATATTACCCATGGAAGATAAATAATATTAAAGATGAAATCACCCAGGGTATCTGATGATGACGCTTGTCATATTGAAGATACGATGATAAAACTCTAAAACATTAAAACTACAAACTAAGATTTTCTTCACCTCATGTGGAGGGGTAGGTTCTACAAGCAGGCCAACGTTGTCCCAGGACTCAGCCAAACCAGGGTCAGCAAACTGTTTTAGTTTTCTAATGACAGATTTTAAATCCATCTCAGAACAAGCTGTGGCACAAAATGTGTTCTGATGGAGGAGAGATAATAAAGTACCTAAAAATATATTGGTTCCTTAAAATGTATAATATATTGTAATTGAAGAGGAAAAAAATTAAAATGTGACATACTAGACTGGTAGGATTGAAACCTGAACCCCCCCCCCCCCCCCCCCCGATCACCCTCATCATTAAGTCAGGTGTTCTATCAACTGAATTATCTGCTTTTGGCACTCAAACCTGCCTGCCCAGTGATTGCCCATTACTCTCTCCATAACCCAGGCTCTTTCATGGCGAGCCTTTGACCTATAAATTTCAGGGCATGGCACAAAATGCAACTATGGAAAAGAAAAATAAGGCACATCGAACAGGATTTGAACCTCCAGAAACCTTGAGTCATATGTTTTGCCAGCTGAAGTTTCTGGCCACTGATGATAAAACCTGCCTGACCACCACACTATACATTAAGACACCTGAGATGATTTTTATTTTAATGAAATTTGAGTGAATGTCTGTTTGAGAAAGGAGCATAATTTTTTTTTAAAAATTAAAAATTCACAATTTTTACTCCCCTTCACCCATATATGTTAATAATGTTATGTGCCATTATCATTAGTTATTACCCATAGATATTATGTGCCATTATCATTAGTATCATTAGTATCATCATGTTAAGTTCATTATCCCAGTTTTTTTTATCAGTCGTAGGGGGGGGGCTGTAATAGGCCCAATGGTAACACAGGGATTTTCCACTCACTTTTGGGAATGGGGCCCAGGCCCTTGGAATTGGGAATTTTACGACATTTTATCACTTATTTGGAAATTTTATTGTATGATGTTTTACAAGAAATAATTAAATACTTAAGATGAATAAAAATTTATCTTTTACTTAGTTATTCAGAACTATGAATCAGAGAATTGATCATTATAATAAAGTTTTACCCAAGATTCTTCAAAATTTTGTTCATTTCATTCAAATTTCCAAACCTAAACATGTTTGTGTTTTGTGAATGATGTTCAGGTTACCTTCTTGAGTTCTTCTTCTTTCAAAAATTGAACATACCTGGTAGGCAGTTCATTTTTGGGAAAAAGGGAGGGGTACGTTTTGCAATAGGGAATGGGGCACATATATTCTAGCTGTCCTACACGGGGTAGTGGAAAATCCCTGTAACAAGAGGACCATGGGCCACATAGCTCACCTAACTAGAAAATGCGCATATCACTTAATCAGCATTGAAAAGTTTACATTGAGAGGAAGGGTGGGCTTGAACTACCTGAGGATGCTCCCATATCAATAACAAGGGCTTTGCTGTTTGTGACCTACTCCCTGGGGTCATGATTTGAACCAAATTGAATGTACAATACCTGAAGATGCTTCCATATCAATATGACTAATTGTGGTTTTGAAGTTCATGAGAAGATTTTTACCCCCGCTGAAAGTGTGGGATATTAATTTCAGTCTTTCTGTCCGTCCATCCGTCTATCTTTAAAAAAGAAGAAAATTAATCTCATGGACTTAACAAAGCGTTTACATACCTCGGATCCCAAAGTTAAATGGAAATCTTCGTTGCAAAATAATTTTAGTAAAATAATTTGCTTTTATCATGGATATTAAAACTCTTTAATTTGTTTATAGGCACACGTTTTTTACAGTAAAAGTGAAAGTAGAAAATCTGTGTACTCTGATCTCGATTTAAATTACTGATGATGCAAGTAATTAAAAAAATAAAAAACAAAACTACGAACTACATTTATCTGCACCATTAAATATTTTTTACCCTTGCCTTCAATGGACATTTGGTATGCAAAATATCAAAATACATTGCATTGAGAGCATCGGGATCGGAATTTCGATAATCTGTTTCACGTTTCGCAACAGCTGACCTAGTCAACTGTAAGTGAATGTCATTTTTACGTTAGTTTTTGTAAATATTCGTGGTTATGGTACAGCAGACGGGTAGAATTGTTACAATTAAAGCCTGTCAGCTTTCACTGTCCGTGATCAGAAGTTATGCAACAACTACAGAAAGATTTGTTCCTAAATACAAAAATGTCACAAGTAGTGATGTACAAATCCTTTCCGAATTCATTGACAAAGGACGGAATATTCTAGTTATGACAGGCGCTGGTATTTCAACAGAAAGTGGTATTCCGGATTACAGATCTCAGGGAGTTGGCCTGTACGCCACGAGCAAAAGCAGACCTGTCATTTATCAGGATTTTGTGAAAAGTGAAAAAGTTCGACAGAGATACTGGGCCCGAAATTTCATAGGCTGGCCTATGTTTTCATCAGTTCAACCAAATATTTCACACAAATTTCTAAAGAAATTAGAGGATTTGGGCAAAGTTTGCTGGTTAGTGACTCAGAATGTGGATGCCCTGCATTACAAGGCAGGGAGCACTAAACTGACAGAACTGCATGGCAGCACTCACAGAGTCGCGTGCATGAGATGTGACTATAAAGTACCAAGAAGTGAGTTACAAGTTATGATAGAGACACTTAATCCAACTTGGAGAGCTTTTTCAAATGAACTAGCGCCAGATGGTGACATACAGTTATCACAGGAGGAAATAGAAGGGTTTCAGGTTAACTGTTAATCTTACTTGTCAAAAATAAAAATGAAAATCATCAAAGGTTTTTGAATTTTATATTACTTTATGAATACCTACTAGGTAATTCAGCTCACCTCAGTGATTATACTACCCTCTCAGACCTAAGGGTAATTAGCCAATTTGGCTGAGGTGTGCCGAGTGACACTGGGGTAGTATACGAAGTTTAATCAAAATTGGGAAATTATTTCAAACCAATCTAATTAAAATTAGATTGATTTCAAACTGATCTATTATAATATTTGCATAAATTTATATTAAAAAGGTAAAATTGCTTAACTTACAATACAAAATTTATTAACATAACATAAGAAAGTGTAAAATTTACAGAACCCTCTTCTCTTTTTCAGACTCCACTTTGTCCTAAATGCTCAGGGCCCTTGAAACCAGAGATCATCTTCTTTGGAGATAATGTTCCAAAGAGTACTGTAAATTTTGTTTTTGAAAAAGTGCAGGAATGTGACAAAGTACTAGTCATTGGATCATCATTAGAGGTAAGGGGAATGAGCAAGTAGGGCAAACCCTTGCCCCACCTAAATTCTATGTTCAGATGTTTTGAGCGATTTAGTTGATCTTTGGGAATGGGGGTTAACTTTTGTCAGTTTGAAAAATATATGCCAAGTGAGATGTATGAAAACTTGAAAGACATGATGAAATTATATTATTCACTAAATAAAAATAATTCAAAAGTCAAATTATAATACCTTGGAGTGTTCATTAGATTGTGATTAACATTAATATTGTAAGCTCTTCTGGTTAACTGCAAAAAGAGCTATTGTGATACATGTAGTAAGTTATTCTTTGTTTGTTTGTCTCTCTGTAAATAATTTTTCAAAATGCTACTCCTCCTACATTTTAGTCAAAATTTCAATAAAACATGACATATAAGTAGGATTGCAACAATATATACAATTTTCTTTTTATTGACAGTATTAACGAAAATTCTGTTAATTATCATTTTTGTTTTTTTTTTTTCCCTAGGTATACTCTGGTTACAGATTTGCACTGCGGGCATCGGAAATGAAAAAACCCATTTCACTTTTAAACATTGGACCTAACCGAGCAGATAAATTGGCTGACTTGAAAATAGATGCCAAGTGTAGTGATGTGTTAAAACAAGTAACTTTATCATGATTAAGTGCTTATGTTAGCTGCAAAAATGTGGCCCTCTCCCATTTTTTCCAAAAAATATAAGATTAAACAAATCGGAGAGGGCTACATTATTGCAGCTAAGCACTAGTATGTATAGAGTTTTGGACCAAAATCACATGATTTTCTGAGACTGCGTGAGATTTTATTTATATACCCTTGTAAGAAAGATTGATTTTAAATAAAAGTTATGGAAGAAAATCTTTTCACTTATTCAGGAAACTAGATGACAATTGAAATGAAAGATAGAAAAGAAAAAAAAAGTATTGTTCATGTACAAATTTATTGAAGGACATAATATGCAGCATAGTTTTTGACTTATTTTTCTTATTTCCTGTTTAATTTAAAAGTTCCAATTATTGAAGGACCTTTTTGCAATCTGTATACACCTTCTCTGAATTTAATTTTTGAGAAATATCAGCTTAAACTATATTTATGTTAATATTTCTCCAAGAATTACTAACATTTTCATAATTTATATGTCTGATGAAAACTTCTGGAAATGTACGATATTTTTTGTAAGAACACCTCATGTAGTGTTATGTCCTTAAGCTCAAGAATTTTAAAACTCTGAAATGGACACCCATCCCTACCTGATTATTCATCTGACGGGACCAATATTCTTTTATAAAATTTACAAGTTGGTGGGAATATAATTGCGTGGGTGTCAGAATTTTTTCAACATTGTTTAATTATCTGTTATCTAAAACTAAACATATACTAGTATCGATTTGTGATTTGCCGTACAAAACAACAGACCAATGATTGTATAGAAAGCTTTAATAATTGGCACACAGATGAACATGTATCTCAATTGCAAATCTGAGAACATTTTTTTTAAATTAATTTTTGCTCTTAGATCAGTATATTTATTACTTTTTAAAAATGTTCAGATTTTCATGTGCGTTGTTGAAAAAGAAACAGAATACATTGATTTCAGTAGTCATTCCTAAACATTTTGTTCAAAGTTTTTGCCACAAGTCTACTTTTTTCTCGCCAATCTTCTGAATTAATGGCTGCCGGTGCTCTGAGCTCGTCGATGTCCTCGTAATAACATGGAGTTGAAGGTGGCAGCCATTTACACGGACCCTTTCTAGTAAAAGCTTTTTGTTGGGTCCCCACGATCACAGCACTAAGGAAGGCACAAAACACCAAGGCTGAAATGAGCAGATTCAGTATATAGAATATTTACTCCAATAATAAAATACATGTAATTTCAATAATGGTTAATTTATTGGTTATTTTTTTCTGAGTTATAACAACAACAACAAAAAAATGAATCAAAGATTTTCTGATCACGTGTCATTTATTTGGGCTTAAGGCATTGGGGTCAGTCATATGTTTAGGGAGGGGGGGGGTCCAACCTCCAAAAATTCGTTGGCAAGCAAAGACAAAAAGTAATCGATCAAAAGTTTTTATAAGGGGACACAAACATCAGTGGTTATGTTTTCTATAAATCGGCACATTTACCCCCCCCCACCCACCCACCCCGATATCGCCAAAATACAGTCATAGCGTATTAATTTGGAAGTGCTCAGTAACAAATCTTAGACTTCATTAAATTACTTCCTTGTTCTAGCTTGCCCCATTTATATATTAGTCTTTGATCATGATAAACATTTAATGTACAAGGCCGGAATTAAAAATGTCTTTGTTTCCCCTAACCCGGCCCTTAATTCTCAAGTTGGATCGGTAGGTAGGTAAACAATTTTATTTTCTGACAGCAGCTTTGAAAATACATTCCAAAATTTAATGGTTATAAATGAGAAAAGTACAAATTAAAGCGATTTGTGAACAAAATGCTAAGTATCGTACATATCATTATGCCGTTTAAAAGCAAAATTCATGATTAATTTATTCACTACTGTTATTTAGTTGAACTTGTGAAATATCTCACGCCATTACATTTATATAAATTGAATAAAATAGACAAGATTCTCAAATACGCAAAGACCAGACATACGAGTATATTTTTTCAAATCTTCCATCAGCCTTCAGAGCTTATAGACGATTAATGTACTTTTTTGAGGGACATGAGATTTGCAGTGGTTCTGGAGCATTTTGCTTTGGAGTGAAGAAGTAAGTGGCTAATTTTAAATCGCAGGTTTAAATCCTAATGAGTAACGTTGAAAATTTAAACGGTCCTTGAAAGGGGACCATAACAACTTATGTCCAGCGTCGCAGAAGATGCTGGCTCAAAAAGGATCCCCCACTGCTTAATGGCAAAAAAGTACGTCTAAATTTTGAGCAATTGGGAAAGTTTTAATGTCGTCCTAACAAATCTCGAAGGGATTAAAAGCAAAGAAACAACCAATCTTCAAGGGCTTAATTAAAGAAAAATACGATGGACGTCTAAGGATGCTAAATCATGATTTCAAAACTATTTGGGTAGAGTATGTTAACAATATTTAATTGAACTAAACCGAATCTATAAATGATAAAAATGCTATATACAATGTCATAGTCACAAAGTTTAATCACTAAATAAAGGCATGAAGAAAGGACATCTGAATTATATTTATCAGGATAAATATGCAGACATATTTACAATAACTCCTATGGTTCCATAATAGCATATAGTAAACATAGGAACATAGAAGAACTGGTTATTAGATCAAAACTCAAATTAAATTAAATGCAGTGAAATTGAATGATGTGTTCACTAGTAGGTGGGCCCCTCATCTACTCATGAGGCGGACCTTACCATGTATTACGTACCTTAAATTCAAAGACAGGTTTGTTTGTTGTTGGAGATGCCAAGACACCTCCGAAACACTCTTAATTAGTCATGGTAAATTTTATTATCAAATTGTTTCAAGAGTGAAGAATTCCAATTAGCTAAAAGCAAAAGATTGAGACGTCGCCATTGTTTTATGAAGAGCTAATGCCCTGTAATCACATCTGGACGTCATTTTGTTTCCAACAATTGTTTGAAAATCACAGTACAACAATGTCGGTCGTTCTGATAAAAACTGATTTTGATGAATTTGTGTAATAAAACTTGGTTAACAATAAAAAAAAAATATTTGAATCATCTTATTTAAAAAATCTTTTCAGTCGGCGCGATTTAATTGGGTCGGTCGCGTTAGGGGAAACAAAGGTATTTTTTATTTTGGCCCAAGATAGGAATTTTTGTCTCATTTTTATCTAACTATTATTTGAAAGTTTACTTGATCATTAACACTATGAATGTACTTTTTTGTATTGAATTATTTTGAGAATTTCTTGTATAACTGTTATTCATCTGATCTTTCAATTCCATTAAATTATATGTACATGTATAGGCATCTTTGCTAGCCAAGGGTTTCTGGCTAGCGAAGATGATAAACAGGTGAATAATTTCTTTCAGTAGAATACAAAATAACAACTTAATAAAAAAAATCACAGTAGTGCAGATTTTCAAAATATCGTAAAAATCCCCATGCTCATGCATGTAGTCTCTTTGCCTCCTAGACATCCGTAAGAAGATTCTCAAAGAATTAATGTATTTAACTAAAAATTCAATATAGCTCCACCGAAGCACCAGAAGCAGTGACTCAGATGCCAAGTTTTGGAGTGGGGCACTCTATTATCATCATACTTAAATATACACTTAGTAAAAGAGTCAAAGAGCCCACCCTAACACACAGGCTCCTGGTCCAGGGGTTATGAATTTCAAACTTTTTTTAAAGGGTATCTTTTCTTATCCTAACAATGCAATTAGTTTCTCTGCTGAATATGAAAAAAAAAAAAGATTTTTAAAGAAAAATGCATTTTGGCTATAACACCCCCCCCCCCCCTCCTCCAAAAAAAAACAAAAACAAAACCCTAAACCCCTGATCACAGTTTTGAAGGAGGTACCACTCTCATTTTAATAATGTGCTTGTTTATCTGTTTACATCAAGTAGCATTATCAATTAAAAGAGCCATCCCCTGACACCAGAACTCCGTACACGTTGCCATGAAAATTATCATTTTGGATCGAAGAGGCAGATCCTTGTTCCTCTTCACTGCACGTATGCACTCGATTTGTTTTTCAAGTGAATCCATTGTCAGTCAATATATTGTAGATATGACTGTTTTGAGTAAGCCCCATAACTGTACAAATTGTTATCAAAGGAAAAGATAGGCTAAGACCCCTTTTTTGCCCCTGGTTTGGGTTATTTTGGGATACACCGAGATCAAAGGCGATCAGAAAATCTGTTAATTTCCGAATTATCTCATTTTTATGGAACCTTTTTTCGATTTTAAAGCACATTTTGTGTCCAAAAAATAAATCACAAGTTTTCCTAGCTGCAGATCTGTAGCGTTATGGTTTTATATATTTGTCTTTATGGTCAAAGACAAATATATAAAACCATAACGCTACAGATCTGCAGCAAAAGTTTTCCTATCTACCAAATTTATATATTTCATACACTGTATCAGATGCATCTTGTGTATAAAAATCTTTAAGATATGCAAGCTTGTATACTGTATGTTTCCCGAAGTGAAAAGTATCTCAAATTTGATGAAATTCCACCAATTTGATGAAAATCTTGAAAATATCCCCATTCCGTGCCCTTTTGTTGCCTCCGTGTAAATTTTGAATTAAAATTGGTGCTGGTTAAAACAAGCATCATTTGAAGTTCTAAATCCAGCATCAAACAAAGGCCAAATTCGGCTGTAACCATACTTTGTCTTTTAAAAGTAATACGGTATTTAGCAGTTAAAGATAGACTTCATTGCGTCGTCATTATTTCCCCCATTTTTTGAATTGTAATTAAAATTTAGAATTTTGCATTTAAACTTAGCTTTTGCCCTAGCACCGCTATTATAAAAGGAAGATAAAGGTTTATAGAAATATTTTGTTCAATGCATAAAGTTATAGATTAAGTTAAAATTTTCATTTTTCTGATGTGTTTTCTTACCTTTCAGATTTCTGTACATTTTGAATCTGCAGCTGTATTACTATATCAGATACCTGCACGAAATGACTTTTATATACAATTTACTGACCCCCTTATTTGACAAACATGACGTATCGGTGAAAAATATTGAAAATTACAAATAATATCCCTCTTTTCTTTGCTTTCTTAAAGTTCATTATGTTTTATTATGTAATGTCCGCACGAAAACTCTTTAAATTTAATAAAAATGATATCAGATTATGTCGTGTAATTTTTCTTAATGATCTAGATAATTATTTACGTGATAACCATGTAGGTGATTTTCTATGATTGAGGAGTGTAAACAACATATGCAAAAGTAGAATTCTCATAATAATCTCCCAATGCATTCCTAATGATTTTCAAAAAAGGAGGGGGCTAAAAATCCTACTTCGTGAAAGGAGGGACCTTTCTCTAACCTTTCGGAATCTTTGTTTTCAATCAATTGCTTGAATAAAAATTGAGAGTGTTCGACTGTGCAGCAATAAAATGCGGGAAAGGGAGGCCAAGCAGCTTCCAAATGAAATATATAGTACCAAATGAAATTTACCGTATATACATGTAGTACTGCATCATATATTTTCAGGGAAAAAACTGAGGGAAGTAAGTAATATAAATCGTGGCGTAGAACAGTTTAGAGATCATGGACCATACCACTATCACACGAAGGTTAAGCCAATGTATTTAGGATGCTTGACAGTTCCACACCTGTAGTAACGGGGGTGGGGTGGGGTAATTCCAGCCCAAAATACTTATTTTTAGTTTTTTTCCCGAATGCATGTACTCTTTTGCTGTAAATGTGTAGTGAGGACTTACACTCCCCTTTTTTAGTTGATATACAGTCAAAGTTTCCTACATGCATTATTGTATTCAAAGATTTTATTTCGACCAAAAGTGAAATTAAGACCCCTCCCCTTAACAACAACCCCCAATACGAAATTTAGAGTCTTGGTTCTTCTGTGCCCCTTTTCCCTTTGAAAAACATTGCAACGAGAAAAATGTTTGCCTCCCGTAAATGTTCAAACGGTCAGAACAATTGACAATGGAACCCTCTGTCTGGACCCCTTGCTGACATTTCTGAACAAGAGGCTCATGGGCCACATCGCTCACCTGAGCTTATGGGCTAGTTAAAAAACACAATATCAGCTCAGTATTGAAAAGTTTACTTGTTGGCCATGGGTTAGGGGGATTGTATATCAATAAGGCATTCATGTGTAATTTTGCCATACTCGAGAAGAAGCGTTTTAAAAAATTTTATTATATATTTCTATGTAAAGATTTGATTGCCCATCATGGCCCCACCTTACCCCAGGGATCATGATATGAACAAACTTAAATTTACTCTAACTGAGTATGTTTCCATATTAATTTCATTCATAGCTTTGCTGATCTTGAGAAGAAGATTTTTAAAAGATTTTTCCTATGTGTTCCTATGTAAATTTTGAGCAGTCCCCCCCCCTATCCTGGGGGTCATGACTTGAACAAACTTGAACCTACACTACCTGAGGATGCTTCACTTATGAGTTTCATCTTTCCTGGTCCAATGGTTCTGGAGAAGAACATTTTTTAAAAAGATTAATTCCTACATATTAATTCCCATGTAAAACTTTGATCGGCCATTGTGGCCCCACCCTACCCCCGGGGGTCATGATTTTAAGAAACTTGAATCTACACTACCTGAAGATGCTTCCACATGAGTTTCATATTTCCTAGCCCAGTGGTTCGGAAGAAGAATTTTAAAGATTTTTCCTATATATTCCTGTGTAAAACTTTGATCAGCCATTGTGGTCCCTCCCTACCCACAGGGGTCATGATTTGAGTCTACACTACCTGAGGATTCTTGAGTTTCATTTTTCCTGGCCTAGTGGTTCTGGAGAAGATTTTCAAAGATTTTTCCTATATCTTCCTATGTAAAACTTTGATCAGCCATTGTGGCCCCGCCCTACCCCCAAGGGTCATGATTTGAACAAACTTGATCTACACTACCTGAGAATGCTTTCACATAAGTTTCATCTTTCCTAGCCCAATGGTCCTGGAGAAGAAGATTTTTAAATGATGCCATTGATTTTTCATTAATTCATAATTATCTCCCTTTTGAAGAGGGCTTGGCCCTTTATTTGAACAAATTTGAATCCCCTTCACCCAAGGATACTTTGTGGCAAGATTGGTTGAAATTGGCCCAGTGGTTCTTGAGAAGAAGATATATGAAAATGTGAATAGTTTACGACAACAACATTTTGATGAGAAAAGCTCACTTGAGCCTTCGGCTCTGGTGAGCTAAAAATAAAACTGACATAAAATCATACTCAGATAGACCTCAAATTACAAAGAAAGCCGCAAACTCAGAATCAGAATGTAGATATCAAAGTACTAAAAGTACTGACAGAGTAACATGAAGGAAATGTGAAGTATTGTGTTGAATATACTAAAGAACTGTAATCTGAAGTATAAATACACCACCCTTTTTGGTTATATGAGCTTGATGAATGAACAAGTCAAAGTAAAAACATATGATATTATGAACTATGAATTTTGTGGCATGATTTTCAGCTTACCAAATAATGGCACAATATTTATAGAATATGCCTTTTTAAATAATAACGATTATATTGCATGTACATGTATTTAATTTTAAAAAAATTGTGAATTCCTAGTATATTATGATTAAAATTCGATCAGGTTTCAAAAATTATTTCCCAACTGAAAGCTTAAGTGAGCTTTTCTGATCATGCATTGATTATACATGAAGTATATCTTCCCATCCATCTGTAAATTTTCTACATTTTCAATTTCTTCTCAAGAATGAAGTTTAATAATTACATCCTAAATAATTTATTATACCCCTGAAATGAATTGGGGGGGGGGGATATATACCTTGTCTTCCTTCTGTCTTTGCAAGCGTGTCCGCTTTGTATCTTTCTAATACGGAGGAACACTAGAATCTACTTCACACAAAATTGCTCATAACCTAAGAGTGTGTCATAACCTTGACCCAAGGTCATTTGGGCAAGTTCAAGGTCACTGAAATAAATATTTTAAGATTCATGTCCGATCCGTATCATTCTCATATATATAAACTTAGTGAGTTCCCATTTTTCACAAAGATTGCTTATGACCTCATAAATATATTTAGATGGCTCTTTTTTTCCACAAACTTAAAAGTGTCCTTTGACATTTTGTGAAAATTCTCTGTAAATATGAACACACTCAGCATACATGACAATTTACCCTATCAAAGAGAATGTAGCAGTATATATATCTAACTACATGTACTGTGTAAGCAGAATTTTTAACAAGGATTTAATTTTGGCATTATTAGCGAGGGTGCTGAGATAGCTAAAACGGAATATTGCTAAAATATATTGTGTTGTATTTGCAATAGCTTCTATTAAAGTGACCATCTTAAAATTGCTATTAAAGATTTATTAAAAACCAATTTTTAAGGATAAATCGCCAAATTTGTGTTTTGCTAAAATTTCCACTTAAACGGTAAATAACTAACTGCACTATCTGCCTTTTTAAATTAACTCCCCCTTTATCACCTACCCAAAAATAAATAAAATTGTGCACTTGAGTTATCTCTTTATTGTAATCTATATTAAACAAACATAAGTAAATGCACACATACCGAAACAAAGACACTTTGAAGACAGTATATTTGAGGGAATATTACTTCAGCACTTGGATCTTGTTTGAATTTCTAATACTGTTCTTTTATCATTACAACCAAGACTTTTGATGGTGTAAAACATAATACTGATCTTTACATTACAAACATTCACAGTCTTCTGCAAACTATTCAAAAATATAGAGAGGTAGGGGGGAGATCCGTGTCATTGTGTATAACTGTTTAGTGTTTATCAGATATTTGTAGTCTGTGACTGTATTTTGCGTTACTTTGCTGCAGTATGGAATGCACTTGTGAAATAAGGTACTCAACCCCTCATCACTGTTCATCTTATTGTAATAAGATTGTACTATTGTAAATGTATCCTGACAACCAGAATCCAGAAGGAAAATAAAATCCTGGTGCATTTACTATCTGGTATGTATTCAGCTTCTTAAGATCACATATTCATTCAGTCATTCACAGATAGTTGTTTCACTTAAATATATATATACTCAAAATAAAAAGTGTTTAAAGTGCTTGGTCTTAAGTTTGAATTGAAATTTTCTATATATGTATGTACCATAAACTTATGCCTGAACTTCCCTGAAGCATATAACAATATGTCTAATCTAGTCAATGGATTTTATTTTGCTATCACCTCTGCTGTGCAGAAAATAATGCCCTTTTATTTGGAAAAGGTACTACTCTAATTCAGTTAAACTTAAAACAACAAGATCATTCCATCATTCATTTCATCTTTATATTGTACCTCCTAAAATTGAGAAGAAACACTGCTTCTTTTCATTCTTTACAAATAATTGCATAAAATGCATTCAAAAACAGCATTTCAATTTGAGATTCACAAAGTTCATACAGATTGGCAACAAAATTGGTATTCAAAATCCAAGGTAGGCCTATATAATTAAATATGTTTTAATTTATGTGGAGAGAATAGCAAGATATATTCTTTAATATAAATGAAATAATGTAAAAAATACTGAGATCCATAGCAAACATTAAAAGAAACCTCAATGATATACATGTACATGTATTTTGATGTTTTTAAAAGATTTATTATGAGTTCAAGGAAAACAATGTTATAACATTATAAAGATTAGAAAATCATCTAGTGTAGGACTTACTTCCAACAATTAATACTGCCTTTTAAAAAATTCTGTGAAATGTACATAGAGAAACACACACATACAAATTTAGAATCACGTCAACTCATTTCCTCAATAAAATTTCCATTTGCAAAGTGTTTGGATAGATTAAGGATTTACTCCTTGATGAATTTAAGGTAGTCCTCTTCCTTCATCAGGGTCTCTAACTCTGATGGTTCCCTGACAGTCATCCTGTACAGCCAACCTGAAAACATGGAGGCAAGATATTTCAATATTACCATTCTCTATTTATCTCTGTCTATTATAGCATGCATCTACATGATTAAAACTCCTGGAAGGAAAAATAAATAATGTTAATCTTAAAAACCAGAATTCTCTGTCGAGACTGTAGCTCTACTGGTTTATACTTAAAACAAAGAAAGAGAAAAGTAGCAGTTGGGACCTGAAACTTTAAAACAGCAATAAATAGAAAAATGATCCTTGCCGCTCTTCAAAATAAAAACCGATGCACAAAATTATGTATCTTAGTATAGTCTACTTGTGTGCCAAGTTATATTGAAATCGGACCAAAACTGTAGGAGGAGCATTTTGAAAGAATTTCACAGAAATTTCTATTTTAAGTAACCATGGCAACACTGTTCATCGAAATCAAAAACCGATGCACAGAATTATGTATCTTAGTGCAGTCTACTTGTGTGCCAAGTTATATTGAAATCGGACCAAAACTGTAGGAGAAGTAGCATTTTGAAAGCATTTCACAGAAATTTCTATTTTTAGTAACCACGGCAACATTGTTCTTCGAAATCAAAAACTGATGCATAGAATTATGTATCTTAGTGTAGTCTACTTGTGTGCCAAGTTTTATTCAAATCGGACCAAAACTGTAGGACGAGTAGCATTTTGAAAGCATTTCACAGAAATTTCTACTTTTAGTAACCACGGCAACAACGTTCATCGAAATCAAAAACTGATGCATAGAATTATGTATCTCAGTGTAGTCTACTTGTGTAACAAGTTTTACTGAAATCGGACCAAACTGTACGAGAAGCATTTTGAAAGAATTTCACAGAAATTTCTATTTTTAGTAACCATGGCAACACCGTTCATCGAAATCAAAAACCGATGCACAGAATTATGTGTCTTAGTGTAGTCTACTTGTGTGCCAAGTTTTATTGAAATCGGACCAAAACTGTAGGAGGAGTAGCATTTTGAAAGCATTTCACAGAAATTTCTATTTTTAGTAACCACGGCAACATCGTTCATTGAAATCAAAAACTGATACACAGAATTATGTATCTTAGTGTAGTCTACTTGTCTGACAAGTTATACTGAAATCAGACCAAAACTGTAGGAGTAGCATTTTGAAAGAATTTCACAGATATTTCTATTTTTAGTAACCATGGCAACACCGTTCATTGAAATCAAAAACCGACGCACAGAATTATGTATCTTAGTGTAGTCTACTTGTGTGCCAAGTTATATTGAAATCGGACCAAAACTGTAGGAGGAATAGCATTTTGAATTAATTTCACAGAAATTTCTATTTTTAGTAACCATGGCAACACCGTTCATTGAAATCAAAAACTGATCCACAGAATTATGTATCTTAGTGTAGTCTACTTGTGTGCCAAGTTATATTGAAATCGGACCAAAACTGTAGGAGGAATAGCATTTTGAATGAATTTCACAGAAATTTCTATTTTTAGTAACCATGGCAACACCGTTCATTGAAATCAAAAACTGATGCATAGAATTATGTATCTTAGTGTAGTCTACTTGTGAGCCAAGTTATATTGAAATCGGACCAAAACTAGGAAGAGTAGCATTTTGAAAAATTGTTTACAGACAGACAGACAGATGTACAGCTAGACAGACGGAAGGACGACGGACGCATTACTATCGCATAAGCTCTTCTGGTCTCTGACCAGTAGAGCTAAAAAACTATCACAACTCCTTAACATTACACTTTTCTATTTGACACTGGTTCAAGGTAGGTAGGTTATTGCTACCCTTGGTTTTGAACTGTTCCCACTCTGACAACCCAGTTGGATGGAATGGATTACAATTCTTGGACTGCAATAACTAATAACCATTGTACTATCTTTTGCAATATTTCATAAAAGAGTCAGTAGATCTAACCATATTTATGACCCTATTCAATGAAGGGAGGGCATATTGCTTTGCTGTCTGTCTGTCAGTCTGTCTGTTTGTTGGTCCACCATCACTTTCCGTTTATTTTCTTCATAGAGGTAGCACATATTGAAATGAAATTTGGTATACAAATTTTTCATAATATCTAAGTCACATTCTATTTTGTGTACGATCGAGCCATTTTGGACAGAGTTATGCCCCTTGGACTTAGGAAAATTCCAATTATTTGCAGTTTCCGTTCATTTTCTTTGCAGAGGTAGCACCATCGTCTCAAGCCATGGTCTGGAGTCTGCATATATAGCTCTCTCCTACCTGTGGCTGCTTGATCACAAAAAGTGTCGTAATCTTGAATATTTACGCCTCTCTATTGTGTCGTCATATTCAGTCACATTGTTTTCCCTTTATTTCAAAGTAAGGGGTTTGAGATCAGATGTAACAGGCTAGGAGCTGATGTTTATGAACAAAATCTCTGTGGACCTAACAATAAATTTTGTTTCAAAGCGGCATTTTTGTCAATTAAAACGGTCAATTTGCCTGGTAGCCGGTTCTGAAGGAAAACACTGCAGTCAGTGGCAAGTTTTGTTTCCATCGCAATCGAAATCAACAACTGACGTCAACAGTATACAAGAAATATTTCCTACACTGCGATTGGATATTGAAAGGTTGCAATAAAGTTCATCATCCGACTATGCTTTACTCGCATTGGTCAATATTTTAATGAGCTACGAAGAATTCTCTCCTCGTTCAACCACGGCCAGATGGGAGAGGAGCGTACATTTTGGTCGTGGTTTGCGACGATGAGGTAGCACATATTGAAATAAAATTTGGTACACAGATTTATTATAAGTATATCTATGTCAAGTTCTATATATCTAGGTCTAGGTCAAAAGAGGCATTTTGGACAGAGTTATGCCCCTTGGACTCAGAAAAAATTCCAATTATTTGGGGGAGAGGGGGCATAAGTGTGAAACAAACATCTCTTGTTTATTTTAATTTATATGAAACTACTCTCTCTAAATATGAAGTACCTTAGTCAAGTCAACCCTTTTGCATACATCAGTTAAGGTCCGGGTACAGAGGCTAGGTATAAGCAAATTTCTGTGCCCTTAACAAGCTTGCTATTTCATTAAGGCATTGATTACAATCAACATTCGGAACATTCTGATTCAACTATTTCTATCAGTATCCTCTTCCTATACATGTATCTTCTATAAGAAATTTTTTCCACCAGAAGAAAAAGGTGTGTGATGAACTTCTTTGCAAGTAAATCTAAAACTGACCTTTTTCATAACAGGACTCGTTGACAAGTTTAGGGTTGTCCTCTAAAGCAGTGTTGGCCTCTTTGACGACTCCTGAGATAGGGCTGTACACCTCACTGGCTGCCTTAACACTCTCCAGGACGCCCGCCTCCTCTGTAATAAACATGAACAGTGGAACCTCAGTATCTCATTGTTATTGTGATCAACATATGGATATTTTGAAGTGTGTTGGAAACCCCGACCACTTTTTATCTTTGTATTTTAATTTTGAATATTTTGATATTTCCAAGTTATTTTCTTTGCTATGATTTCAAGATATCAAGGTTTAACTTGATATATTTCATCAGAGTACAGGGGTAAGTATAACCACATAAAAAACCGTAGTAGTGAGTGAGGAATTTTCATTGGTATTTTTGATCAGTGTTTTTCAGTAGAGATACTTACGTCCCAATTCTAATTCTGTGTCCACTTCAGGCAGCTGTACATATACAACTTCACCCAGCTGATCCTGTGAACAAATACAGATAATATGGTAAATTGTTTGAGCAAAAGGATTCAATGTCACAGGTTTCTAAGATTAGAAAAATTTATATCTGTTTTATTTTTTAAAATACTGCTGTAAACCAGTTAAGTCAACACTGATCTTTCAACATAATGCAAAGTTTGTAAAATCCAAACCTGGGCAAATTCAGAGATTCCAATGGTTCCTACATCTCCATCAACTTCAACCCATTCATGTTTCTCTGTGAAGTACTTCACTGAAATAATAAAAATCAGATATTAAATGCATGTGATCAGAGATGAAAACTTAAACCATAGGAAAGGACAGGCAGGAAATTTAACACATGCGTAGAGTACAGACACTGTAATGTTGACAGATAAAGAGTTAAGCATTTAATATACCATCCACTGAATACTGTAACATGTATAATGAACCCTGTTGCTGAGGATTAAAGTAATGTAACTAAATTTTAAGTAATTGTACCATATTTCTGTCCCCAACATCAGATTACTGTATACAAGGTTATTTTCGCTCCGTGTTATTTTCGCCCTTTTGTACTTGCAAACTATTTTTCCCCGTTTTAAATTCGCCCATTCATAGTTCTATTTAAGAAATTATGCTGTGTAATTTGAATTCACCCAGTTTTAAATTTGCCCAATCAAGAAGAGGGCGAAAGGGGCGAAAATTTCCCTGTATACAGTATATGCAAGATAAATTACCGTATAATCCCTATTAACTGCCCAGGGCGCTTAGAAAATTGCGATAAGGGGGCGGTTATTTGTATTCATATGGTATTTATAATATTAAATGTCATATTTTAACTTCAAAAAATCTTTTGAAAAAAAATAAATTCCAAGAACCACTAAATTAATGTCTAACTTTACTTTTAGTGAAGATAACCAACCAAATTATGCTTAAGGGTCCTCCACACCATGTGACCTGTGACGTATATAAAGGAAAAATACTTTTACCTCCGGTTTTATCGAGTTTATGCACGAACGATTTGGCATAGCACCGTTTGTAAACAATGAACACATGGCATGGTCACGGAGTGACCGATGGAAAAGGATGTGCAGGGTTTTTTTTAAATAAGAGAATAATAGACGTCTTGGATTATGTTACATAATAATTCATAAACAACAGGTACGGGTATGACGAGAAACGTTTAGGTTATTTATACTTTCAGGCTAATCAACCGAGTCTGTTTTGATAGTTGAAATTTCGGCACACTAATTTGTGCATTTCAATACCGTATAAGTAGAATTTTTAGCGAGGATTTAATTTTGGCATTATTGGCGAGGGTGTCGAGATCGCTAAAATTGAATATCGCTAAAATTAAATTTTGTTTATATGTTATAGCTTCTTTAGTGTGCATTAAAAATCGCTAATATAACATCTCGCTAAAAATAAATTACCAGTTTTTAAGGACAAATCGCTAAATTTGCGTCTCGCTAAAATTTCCACTTATACAGTAATACATTATCTCATTGTGTGATTATAAATATTGATAAAATAGTGTGCGTTTCTAGTTTTATATTTGTCCAGTTCAGTGGCTAGTAATTATTAAATATAGTATGGTGATGTATGCGGAGACTTGCCAAAGTTTTTGAGTCCCTGGCAACAGGAAAGATAACTCCAAAAAGGAACTTTGATACCAAAGATTTTGAAAATGTTTTTTATACATCAGTGCATTTTACTGTAGACGTACTTTTTTCCACGGGGTCTTAATTCTGCAGAATCTGTATTTCCGTTTAATCCGCCTGTTGAAAATTACGCGGATTTCATAGACTTTCACTATGTATGCCTTGCATTTATATTAAGTACGCTTGGACAAATTTCCGCGGAAAAATTTGTGACCGCGTACAAAGCGTAAATTAATACCACATGGAAAAAAGTACTTCTACAGTATTTTAATTCAATTTTTTTTATGTAATCTAATTCATTAAAATTTCTTCTCTACAAAAGGAGTCATTATTGATTTTTCTCAAGATGTATTTAAGAGAAAATGAGTTTTATGTACTTTTTATATATAAAATAAATTTCTGTAAAAAATATGTTGATCGATAAAATTAAGTTTTTATGGTTATTCTGTGAGCTTAAAAATATACTAAAGGGTAAGACAAAATTTGTTGTGCTAGGTATGATAACGCCTTGGGAGAAATTTCTTGAAACTTGTGAAATAATTATTTTTAAAAATCAGTATAAATTACATTTTAATCCCTAGACAGTTTTTAAAGGTTGATCTGCTTGTTAAAAGTAATGCTCAATAATATGAGAACATAAGCTGTGGGTGAGTGGAGGACCCTTAATTATGCTTAATGATTCATTTTCCATCGAGAAAATTTGATGATAGACAAGTTTCATTTTCACTTTCTTCAAATTTTGGCAGACTTTTGATACGATTCTAGATGATTTAAAGCACTGTACAGGGGGCCCTTATTTCTTGACAATTGAAAAAGCCCTTAGGGGGCACTTATAGGGGCAGGGGCGGTTAATGGGGATTATACGGTATGTCAACATGCAGATATAAAGTATGTTGACATGTAAGATAATTATGTCTACATGTAAAATAATTATGTTGAAATGCAAGTTTTTCATGTTTTTAGTTGACATATTAGTTGACATAATTTATCTTGCATATGTAGGAGGCAGTAATATGCCATCATTTACAATTAATAAAACATTCCATTGTGTTTTGCTATTTCTCAGGTGAACTATCAAAGATTCCATACTCTTCTTTCAATGTAAAAAGATAGTTTTTAATTAACAACTGTTTCTCTAAACATGCTAAAAAATAAAAAAAAATAAACATGACATTAACTTCTACTGTATATTATGTATAAATGCAAAATAGAAAATGTAACTTTAATCAAATGAAGAATAATAATAATTTGTTGCACTTTTTAAAGTCATATTTCTTTAAAATACAGGTATATAGGCTATTCATTGCGAGTGTCACCTTGCAGGATTTGAACAATGCATTTTTTTTTTTATTAAACCACAATCAAGAATTTTATTTGAAATAAGATTCAATTAAAAATATTGCAACGTAATTCACACTACTCTATTTCAATATTGCTTCCTTTCAGGATAACAAAAGGTCAGGGGGTGAACAAGTCAACGTGAACTTAATCAACTTACTGAAAATGGCTTATCCTTTTATTCTTCTTGTAGGAATTTGTTTATCTAAACACCTGAACTGTAACATGACACTTACCCCCTAAAAGACGTTGTGAAAAACTGATATTTCTACATTGTAAACTTGTTACATTAGCAACAGTTCTGTATGCTCGCAGTTTATTCAACTGCCCTAGTACACAACGTCCTAGTACGGCTGTGGCCATTCTTTGAAATGCAGAGTGAATTCCCTTTGTAGAGCTCTCCTTTCACAGAAGATAAAATTTTCGGCGGATGTTTTGAAACAAGTTTGGACCTGGGATGATGACTTGAATTTGGTGTTTTGCAAACATTTTACTTGAAGATGGCGATGCAAACAAGACAAGACATCAATTTTCAAGGAATGTTCAAAAAGCTAGGTGTGCAAATTATATAAATGCTGCAGATCAAAGATTTTAGAGGATATGTTCAGTTCAAAACAGCTAGATATTTGTAAACAAAGTTATGCTTTTCTTGCAAGATGAACTATGTTGATGAGTCTGCTAATAGTTTTAAAGTAATATGGGAACTGAATTCCTGTCAGTTTAATACATTTATTGATTTAAAGTCATGATCTTTTGTGCTGGATCGAAAATTATAATTTAATTTAAAAAATGCTTTGTATCTTCCATGTAACTTGACAGGGGTTGATTTTCATTTGTGGGTGATAATGCAAGTACGATGCATATTTTAGGGCACAATCTGGAGGAAATTCGTGTGAGAAGTTTGGAAAACCTCCTGTCAAAACTTGAACATAGTCTAGTGTGTGACTCGGATTTGGTTAATGAACGTCATTTAATGATAAGATTAATTGAGTGGTTCAATTTCCCTAGTCCACCAAAGCAAGGGGATGTTTTGCATCTTATTTTGAGATTATCAAAGGTAATTACTTTTTTAAATGTGTTACTGAATTATTTCCACTAGTTTTATACTGTAGAAGCATTATCTGAAGGTTTTACATATTTTTATTCAGCACTCTGCAGCTGCTCAAATTCTCCAAGACATTGGTGCTATTGAATTTTTAAGCCAGCTTCGGAAAGATGTGTTGAAGTCCTTACAGCCTGTGATTGACCAAATCCTGGAGAACACAATGAGATTGCCAGAGATGTCAGAGGAAACCTTCAGTCCGACTTGTATTTATCAGAAACAGGGTTTCACCCAAGGTGTGCTCATATAATGGTTTTTATTCCTTCAATCTTTGATGTGTATATTAGATATTTTGCAATTCTCTTTTTATTGTGTCATTAAAATGATTATAAAAAAGTGTATTATTATGTGAAGGTAAAACAAATGATCGAAAGGAGCAGATGTAACTCCATCTGGCATCTATTTTAGAACCAGTGTCATTTACAACCAATGATGCAACATCTGAAACAGCTCCATCACTCACCTCAGTATCAACTCTCCCAACAAATGAAAACTTAGATCCACCACACATAATCACTGGAAGGGAGAACTCTGAGGGATATTTCAAAGATAAAGTACACCTTCTTCAAGATCAACAAAGGGAAAATAATGATGGTAAACTTAGAAATGAAAATTTGGATTAAAGGTCAATTTCAGATTTGTAAACTTGAAAATATTATGCTATTAATTAAAATGCAATTATGTAACATTAGAAGAATTTTATTCTATTTTCTGAAATATTTTAAAGCATCTCCTCTTATAATCCATGCAGGTACTTCAAGCACATTTCTTGTGACAACTTTTCCATGGTTGGCTCTGACTCCTACAGACAGACATGTCATACAGTCAACAAACTCGTAAGTATTAAAGGAATGTGTTCTGTAATGTATCTGTAAAGTGATGTTGAATAACAGAACTGCACATTGATATGTATATTATAAATGTTTTAGAAATAACAAATTGTTTATATTAATGACCATTTGTTCTCATCTTTGGAATAAAAATTTTTTTCATCTTTGTTTAAAGTTACTGAAGTCCTAACAATCAATGAGTTTGTACTTAAAATGAAGAATTGTCATTATGACTATCTGACTGATATATTCCCCCTTTTCAGCTCCTTACAGAGTAGAGAATCTCACCTGCTTGCCAGTTCTTGTGAATTTCTGAGTGATGTCGTTTTTCAAGATTTCCCAGCTGAGATATTCTTACAAAGACCAAATATTGTTAGAGTAAGTGGTAGTTCATCTCTGCAGTTTTTATCAAAACATTTTTTAATGAAAAGAAATGCATACTCCTTCCCCCAAAATTTGTGTTACAGTTATTGACTCAAAAAACTTGAGAAACAAGATTTTTAACAATCAAGTTTTTCTGGCTATGTGTATCAAGATGAAAAATAAAACTGAATGGTATCCTTTTGTATTATTGCCAGAATCTGTTAGGACTTCTAGGAGCTGTCCCAGATGTAAACACACACCTGACCATTCATGCAGCAAAAACTCTGGGTGATCTGACCTCTTCCTTGAGGTCAAGGTTACGGTATTATCAAGATCCAGCATTATTTACGTGCAAACAAGGTACAGTATATATATTAAAGATTTTCTGTGTTCTATAATTAGAAAAGAAATCTTACATAGCTTGTACTTGTATTGTGTACTAACACCTTGAATATTGATTCAGTCAGATATAAATGTTATTCTGATGTAAAAAAAAAATATGTTTAAGATACTTTAAGAAGCTTTTCTAATGTATTTTTAAATCTCCAAGAAGAATGTAAATAAAAATGTTTAACATTCCTTCAGATTTCAGTTCAGCCTCCTCTTCTCCATTCTCAAACTCCCCCAGTCTGCTGTCCAACCAGTCAGGAAGGTCAGAAGGTCACAGTCCCCTGGCAGGGTGGGGGGACACTCGCCCTAGGGGAGACGGACGAGAGGTGGACTCCTCCTCATCAGTCAGGTAAAAATTCATGCTGGAGAGAAATATGTGAAAAAATATTCATTGTCCTAAAATTAAGCCAACCATAGATCTTTTATTTAGTTTATGGTATAGTGAAATACAAGTCTCAAGGAAACCAAAAATATAAGTTACTTGTACATGTATGGTGAAATTTTCAGTGCCAACTCTAGGAACTCTAGTGTCAGTGGGGGTCCAGATGTGACAAACCCTGAGGAGACAGACATTGATGATATGAGGTCTCTACAGAGTATGCAGATCACCCTTCCCCAGTACTGCTCCCTGGTCATAGAAAAGGCGGTCCCCCTCCTCAAAACGGGGGCGGAGGGGGTGGTCACCCAGCTCATGTACCTCCTAAATCAAGTCCTGGAGATCTTCACTGCTATTGTTACAATGGAAATTTGGCAAGATACTTCATCCAGAGCAAGGGAAATTGTAAGATTTGAAATACAATTCATTGTTTTAGTCGTATTTGAAATGGAGAACCATTTCAAGTTACATGCACATGTACTCTTATGATTTCTAATCCTTATCCCTTTCAGAAAACTATTTTCTTCACTATTGTATAAAAAAAAATTAAAAAATTATATCCAAGTGCAATGTCTGATTTACCACTAGTACATTTTGAAAATTTTGGCACTTAAAGGCAGAGAGACTATCTGGAACTTTAGAGGCCCTGAGTGATGTAATAAACTGTCACCACCATGATGAGGTCAGTCGTGGGAAATCAAAGCAAGAGAAGGACAAAGGAGATATTGTACATCACAGACTGGCCTTTATTGGAGTCACTGGATTTACTTCCAGACTCCTTAAGCAGTTAGTTCCAGTACAACAGGTGAACTCTCCATAAAATCCATATCTAGAAAAGTAGCTTTGCATCCGTGTTATACATTTACAGAAGCATACAGTAGTTACATAAGTGTTTCTTTGTATGTAAAATTTAAAATGAAAAAAACTTGCATTACTTACTTAAGTTTGTCTTTGTTTTGTTCAAGAATATAAAAATGTGTAAACAGGATTTTTGAAATCATTCTCTTTTTAGGGGAGAAAACTCTTGCCATCCAGTTTGACTAAGTCCCTGGAGCTGGTGGTGTTTGATGAAGCCCTGTCCCACAGTTATCCAGACATCCAGATCACACTGCTAGCCTACCTACAGATCCTGAGTCCAGACAAATACAAACTGTTTGTGGATACAGCCAAAATTTCACAGTCCATCCAGAAATCCTGCCAGTTTCTGATGCTTTGCCAGGAGGAGGTAATGTTTTACTTCGATGTGATCAAAGAATAGTTTAAATTAAATTTTCTTATTTTAGTATGTTAGGACTTTTTTGCACTTTTTGGAGTACTTATCTCTGATGTTAAGCTCTTGAATATCCCAGAAAGGGATTAATATTTAAAGTAATGTTTAAATTGTACTGAAATCTAGATATTCTGTTTGACAGGCTTACAAAGGAAGCAGTCAGATGATCAGTTTAGCTGAGGCCTCAATAGAGAGTCTACCCTACCATCTACACCTCCCGCTCGTGTCCGAGTTTGTCAAACTCTCCTCCTCCATGTATGTCCTTCAGAGTAATTTCTGTCAAAGTTTAACAGATATATAGACTGATGATGAAGTTTTTGAAAAATCATAAGATACATGCTTTCTACTGATATCTTTAACCTTGCTGAAAAACAACCATTCTGTGATGTTTGTTTAAGAACATCAAAATTTGATTTGTGATCTGTTGATGATATAGATGTGCCAGGACAACTGAAGACAAAGTTCTACAGATGAAGTGTGTGGATGTACTGCTGAAATTCCTGTCTCATCCTCTACCACAGGTCAAGGAACAGACCTACAGCACTATCAAACAGGTCATTAAGGTAAGAGTCAAGGACAAAGGTCAAGGAACAGACCTATAGCACTATCAAACAGGTCATTAAGGTAAGAGTCAAGGACAAAGGTCAAGGAACAGACCTATAGCACTATCAAACAGGTCATTAAGGTAAGAGTCAAGGACAAAGGTCAAGGAACAGACCTACAGCACTATCAAACAGGTCATTAAGGTAAGAGTCAAGGACAAAGGTCAAGGAACAGACCTATAGCACTATCAAACAGGTCATTAAGGTAAGAGTCAAGGACAAAGGTCAAGGAACAGACCTATAGAACTATCAAACAGGTCATTAAGGTAAGAGTTAAGGACAAAGGTCAAGGAACAGACCTATAGCACTATCAAACAGGTCATTAAGGTAAGAGTCAAGGACAAAGGTCAAGGAACAGACCTATAGCACTATCAAACAGGTCATCAAGGTAAGGGTCAAGGGCAAAGTTCAAGGACACAGACCTGTAGTACCATCAAACAGGTCATCACGGTAAGCAGGTCAAGATCACAGATGCAGCCCTTAAATACAGGGGAGATTTTTAAGAAGAAAAAAATCTTCTTGTCATTGAATATGTGTATATTCAAAGACATGTACTAAGAATAAAAAAAAAAATAATTAGTAATTTTTTTTATGATTTCTAGTGTAAGTGTTTATTACTTGTTATTATACAATTGTTTTCAGTGTTCCCTGAATGTGAACGAGGCAGCTGACCCTAGCTCAAGGGCCTGCTACTTGTCCAGGTTCCTGTTTAACTCTGACATCATGTACGAGATCATTGTGTTTGGACTCAATGACAGTAACTCCAAAGTAAGAGGTTTTTTTTGCCTACTCAAATGAAAGCAAAGTGAATTCATCATTTAGAAATAAATGCATATGTAATATGAACACTTGACTATACAGGTTAGCCAAACAGGCACAGAGATCATTTGTCACATTTTGGATGGCCAGCTGTTGATGACAGAGGATTTATGGAGGGAGGCCCTGAACAGTTTGATGAGACCCCTGCCAGTTTTACAGGTATTGTTCATTTGATTAAAAATAAAATCTCATCTATGTTCATCACAAAAAGTAAATCCAAAATAAAAAAAAGTCATCAGCCATATAAGGTTGATACCATTGTATGTTTAAAGTAAAACATTACTCCACTCTATGTACATGTTTATCAATGAATAAATCTGTCTTTTCTTCAGACCTATGTTGACATGGGGACAAAACTTGGATCTTCCCTGCTAGCAATGATGGATCCAGCAGAGTCTGAATCAGAGGGAGGACTGACATACTTAGAGAAACTCAGGGGCTGTATCAGAATCATGTTCTCTACTGATATCAGGTATATAGAAAACACAGGGGCAAAATAAAAAGACTTGCCTATGTTTGCTAGGCATGAGATTTTTATGCATCATAATGGATTGTTCAATTGTGAAACTAGAGAAATTTTAGGAAAGACCATGATGGACTGACATTTTTTTTCAACAAATATTTGTGCTTAAGTGTATATGAAAACAGACAATATTTTTTTTATTGTCTTGATCTGTTCTAAGCTTGGTAATGTTTCTTAATCAGAGCACGTGCAGAGGCTTTGAAGCGACTGGCCTGGTTTTTGTCTAATGAGAGGGACAGTAACGAGAAACTACCTGTGTTTGCTTCGTTAGATGTGACAAACTTGACCAGCATTTTTGTCATGGAGTTACAGCATTCTCTTGATGAAGATCTGGGAAGATCTGTGTTTCAGGTAAACATCTTGTTGACAGTGAAGAACTGAATACTGTATACATAAAATTTTAGCCCTGTACACTCTTGTCCCAAGTAGGCAAATTTATGATGACAGCATTCACTCTTAAATGCAACTGAATGGTTGAAAGTTAAATGGTACAAAATTGTTTGCAAGTTTTAAAGGGCAAAACTGATAAAGTACCTGGATTACAAAATGAAGAAGACTTTTATTTTGTAAATGTAATGATGTAGTATTGGGTTTAGAAAAAATATTGCAAATTAGAGTCAATTTATGCTTCAGTTATCTTCCAATAGATGTTACACAATATTTTAATAACCATTTTGTTATGTTTTTATTGTTCATTTTAAAACTGAGAATATTTTTTCTTAGATTGATGGACTGCGGAAGGTCTATGAAATCTTTGTCTCATCATCTGTTGACCCTTCTGTGAGGAAGTCAGCTGTGGATCAGCTGGCCATTATTCTTCAGGATCACAATCTACACACTCCGTTCAAAGCCGAGGGAGGGGTAGAAACCATCCTCAAACACCTCAAACTTGGCCTCGTCAGGAGTGAGGCACAGGTCTCTAATTACTGGATTTTATTTTGATAATTAGTCACTAGCAATGTTAATTTTAGTTAACTTTCAAGATGTAATTTTTTTTAAGCATTGGAATTTCTACATATTTATTTTCTCTTCTTGTATATTGAACAAAGTTAATGAAGAACTTGAAAAGTTGCTGTGTATAGTTAATGAATTAACAAAAAAGACTTTTAAGAATGAAGATCAGTAATTTGATGTAATGTTATTTTTTTTGCACAAGATTGATTTTTAATTACGTAAATTTTTTAATTTTTCTTGTAGAATGAGAACCTGCATTACTTGCCAGCATGTGTTGCCATCTTGAGATCACTCGTTCATTATGATTACAAACTCAGACACAAACTCGCTCGAGATCAAGAAATGTATCTTATCCTTCTAAGAGGTGAATATTGGTTTTCTTTTGTTTCATTTTGATAAAGTTTTTGGAAGTTGTCAAAAAATAACTGAGAGTATAAAATTTGTAACAATTAATGTTTTTTCTCTGCTCCTACATGTAGTTGCTTTCCTGCACCAGCGAGATGAGAGAACATGTTACGAAGTGGCTCATATTTTGACACTGTTGCTGTTTGATGAAGTAGCAAAATTTGACCTGGGGTAAAAAATTTTTTTTAGGAATTAAAAATTGTTTTATCAAATGTTTTCTCTACATAAAACTCCAAAAGAAATCATATTTATAACACATTTATATTCTCTGTACTTGTTCTGAATGAGTTTTATAAAGTTTTGTGTACATAATTTTTCAGAGGTGGAACAAATCCAGTGGTTCATTTTTCTGTGCCTACTGTGTTGAAAAAGAGGTGAGTATCAAAATTGTAGAATTTTTAAGCCAAAAATTTTAAGATGAAGACAAAGGAAATAATTTTGTTGTTGGGAAGTGTATGATATATATGAAATTTATTTATTTCAGTTTGCACAGTATTTAATGATTTGTCATTCTTAGGTGCCGCCTGCCATTCCGTCCAGCATGTCACCATGACAACAGCCCCCATGTGGTGGAACTGCCTCCTGATCCTGACCCTATAAAGACAGACAGACCACTGGAAATGCTGCGAATCTCCTGGAATGTAGCCTGGCATGGGGGACTGGAAAAACTGTTGAAGTTCCTCGCTCAGAATAAAAATACCAGTAAAAATGACAAGTTTACTGAGTAAGTAGAGTCTAACACTTGTTTATTAATATGCTTAAATTGTATAAAGCTTTGTAAAACTCTGATAGTGAAGAAGCAACAAAATCTTTTAACTTGATTACTAAATCACTATTTATGTGCGAGAACTTTATTTTCCTATAATTATGTGTGACAGTGTGCTCACAAAAATTCATTTTTGCATTTATTAGAATCCTTTAAGATAATCTGATAATAGAGAGCAATAACCACAATTTGTGAATAATTTGTCTTGCTAATAAAGAGTTAATTATTACCTCACGAAAGTAAGATGCTCAGAAAATAAAGTGTTAATGTAGCTTTTCTTTTCCAGGTTTTCTCCAGTACTTCAACTTAGCTTCATAGAGAGAAAGATTGTCCAGTGTAGTCACTTATCAGAGGGAATCAAGCAGTCATTGTACAATATCTCTAACGCTACCTCTCATCATGCAGTCAGCTCAGCCATTGGTCAGCTGCTGAGTTATCTGGTCAACTCCCACGGTTACGAAGGGTCAGAGGTCATGTTTGGCCAGGACTGGATACCCAGTGTTGGACGGTAAGATCTTATAACATTTAAAAACAACTTCTTTAAAACACTCTGAACATGTCTCTATTTTCTTTTTTTTAGTATATGATATTCATATGGTAATTAAATTTGAAATTTTCTGTATGTTTATAGATTGAATTCATTTATCTATTGAATGAAGTAATAAGAATTAAGTTCAATGTATTCTGATAACTACAATGTATTTGTATAATGTGAGGTAAAACCATATACAGTGTATAACACACATACACTCTCCCAAAATATAAGCACCTGTTCCTGTATTATTTATACACTTAGTAAGGAATTGCTTTTTTACTTTCTTAATATTTTTTAGGCATATGTGCAACAATATGCAGCATCCATCATTCAATTTTTTGTTGTTGATATACCATATATAATGGATATTGATGTATCAATTTATCAATTCTTTTTATTTACATATATATTAGTTTTGAAAATATATATTATGTTTTATCAATGATAGCTTTAAAATATATATTATGTTTCTCTTCCCAATGTTTTCTATCCATTAAATTATGACTTTTAAAGCATTTCACAGCACACACAAATATATTCTATATTTAGCATAATATACATGTAATATATCACAAACATTGATTTTAGTATTTGATAACTGGACTTTTTAATGAGCCCTTGAGTAACTACTAATCATGGAACTTGTTGACATCTCTTTAATAATAAAGTGAAGTGTTTAGGTAAGAGTTTTCTCCCTTTGACCATAAATTAAATCATACACTAAAGACGGGATTTTCAACAAGATTAAAGACATGCAGTACTTTTTATTTTTACAAAAATAAGTGGTTATCTCATCTGGAATTAATTACATTGTTGTTATGACCTTGTTCCAGTTACTGGTAGATTTGAAAAGCCTGTATGAACTATTCGGGTGGTATACGTGTACAATAAAATTAATTTTGCTTTAGTGCAAATATTCTTGAAATATAAAGTGTAAAAGAGTAGGCTAGATGTAAGGTGTTAAGGACAGATGATACAAACAAACTTTTGTCAAGAATCTTGAAAATGCAACAACTTAGTCATGTTCAGAAAAGGAATAAAATGAACAATTTTAACCACATACATTTACATTTTTTTTTTTTTTTTTTAATATTAATAAAAAAAGTTACCAATGAATCACCTCCCTTTTTTTGTTGATGTTAGCTAACTTAGCATATTTTGTTGGGATTTCTATGATTTATTTTCATAATCCTGCACATGTATGGCTAGAAACAGGTTTGTGCTTAAAATTTGAGTTTGCTGATGATAACAGTGATTTTCTCTCTTTGTGAGCTGATCAAAAATGTGTTTCTTAGCAAATCTGTAGCTTCTGTTTTTATGTTATTGCTGGGTCATTTTTATATAAACAGTCAAAAATGATTTCTTTTATAAGATAAAATTTGGCATCTTTTCTAGCCAAGGATTTCCTATCCAAAATGATAAAATCTGCCAAGGGTTGTAGAGTAGATTTCCGATTGGAAACCCTTTAGCTATCATAGATGCAGATACACTGATACTATAGAAAAGCCATTAAAAAATGTGGAAAAACTTTATAATTTTAGGTTTTGTCAATACCATTACTAGTAGTAAAAAAGTTACAAGTCATTAAATCAGGTCAAGGTAGAAAAAAAATGAGCAAATCTTGAAAAGAAAAAATTTTTCCACCCAACAGCCCCCAGGGAGGATCGAACTCCCGACCCCTGGTTTACAAGACCAGTGCTCTAACCACTGAGCTATGGAGGCGTTGAAGGAGAAGGTTTAAAATTTGTTTATATAATTCAAAACATATTTATTTATCATTTTCTTCATTTAGCAACTTTAAACTTATAAAGTATAAGTATGATTGAGTATGGGCTAACATTCCTTAATATTTAGTGTTGATAAGTGTCGTCTTCTCTGATTAAAGATCGCTGTTTCATGAATTGTTTACGTGTAACCAAGGTCAAAGTTGACGGGAGACAACTCTTACTCCATGAAAGCACAGGCCTCTGAATATCTTCTCAATGAGCCGTTGATTAGACCGATATACTAAATAGCCAGTATCAAGTATACACCTTCTCTTTCTGAGCGATTGGGAAAAATTCATACGCATCCAGGCATGTTTATCCGAGTGTCCACACTACAAATATAAATCCATCCTACAATACAGTCACATTGTTTTATAAATTATTTAGTTTTCCAGGATTACAGTGTAGGCCTACCACCTGCTGCTTGCTGCTCATCATTCTGACCTGAATTGCTCTTCATTTGTACAGCAGACTTTTATCTCCCGGTTAAAATCAATTTTCAGATCTAATTTCCTTTTTGACCAGTTAAAGAAAATAACACAAGTCAGAATCATTAGGAATCCAAATCACAATGTAAAAATAACCCTTGGATAGAAAAAGAATCAACTTCAGTTTGTAAGATTTTTAACAAAATGATTCAAACAAAATAACAACAAAAACAAAAAATTAATAACTCCTTCACTGATACATGCCTTGCAGTGGAATAAACTAATGATTGCAAGACAATCATTGGAAACCGAGACATCTTCCTGCCAAACTTCACAGCATGATAATTGGGAGAGCTGATTATTAAAATGAAGGGTACGACAGCATCTAAATCTAATCTAATCTCAGCGAGATGGGTAGAAACTAAAATTTTGGTGTGATGTCTACTACGGTAGTAGACGTCAGACCAAAATTTTAGTCTCTACCCATCTCGCTGAAATTAAACTAATCCAGATTACTGTCCATAAAAATATTTTAACAATTATTCTTAATAAATAATATTATAAATAGGTTTTTGATACAACCATTTAATTAATTTTCATTAACTTAAGATTTATTTGTTCAAAATAGTTATATTAACATTGTCTAAATCAGGCAATATACCCCTTACATTACCTTGTATCTATAATGAGGTAGCATTGTTTGTGGTCAGAGATGCAGAGCAGAATATTAAAAGGAGGTCACAATTTTCTTTGACAGTGATGCACACTTTTGTAATTAATATATCAGTAATTGAATAAAAATGTGTACCATACAAAATTAAAAAAAGATAAGCGAATTAAAAATAAAAAAAATATATTACATATGTAATATTATTGTGTACGTGAAGGAGTTTCTAATTTTGATAAGCAATTGTGACTACCCTTTGGTACCCCATATTGACCATAGTAGAGGTGATACCCCATGCTGACATTACAGACAGCTTACTTACATAACCACAGAGTCTGTTATTACATGATAAAGGAGTTAGTAATAATCACTGATGTATGAACAAATTATAAAGAGATTATACTTGATAGGTGATTGCCCCCTTTGAAAACTTGCAAAAGGCTTGAAGTGCCTGTTGTGTCATTCTATGCATGGTTATTGATGCATCAAAACTGGACCCCCCACCCCCTTAAAAGATTGCTGGATCCACCCCTGGTTTAGAATAGTTACCGAGTTATCAACAATGGAGAAAGAAACAAATGATCTGATGCTGGAGAAAAAAACTGAAAGTTTAACCAGAATGAAAGGTGCAAAGCTGAAAAAGAGATTGTTTTTGCCTAATCTGAAAAAGAAAATATCTCTGTTAACAACAACATAGACAAAAACACATTTTGTCTGAAAAAAGTTCAGTTGTAACAAATAAGTTACTGAACTGTGTTTTTGACTTTTCAACCAAATGCAGGGATTTACAGATTTAACAATGCACTTCAAATAGAAGAACTAAACTAAATTTCAACCCTAAGTTCTATTTACCATAAACTGTATGTGATAAAAATATTTCTTGTGTTTCTTAGCATCCTATTCAGAAATAACCCCCCCCCCCCTTTCCTTTGCTGGATCTGCTTATCTTACTTTTATTCTTATCATATAGTACATGTACCTAATTATGTTCCCCAAACGAAGTTGGGGAACATATTGTTTTTACTCTGTTTCTTATTATTATTATTTTTCTTCTTCTTCTTCTTCTTCCTGGGTACTTTTTTGTCCGGGAATGATCTTGTAAACTACAGATCCGACTTAGGTAAAACCTTTTTAGAGTCAGTAGACATATTATGTAGATTTGCGGAACGAAGGTCATTTTGCGCGCACGTGCTTGCAAGAGCGTGCACGTGCAACACGTGAAATGACCGATTTAATTGATATAGGCGTAACTTTTTACCTTTTTGTTGAAATGCTTTGAAACTCATAATATAAGGATATATTAGTAGCACAGACAATATGACATGGTCAAAATAGCAAGATCTCACGCGCATGCACGTGCGCTTCGCTCTGATTGGCTGAAACTAAAGTCTCAATATCTTTCTTGTTTTTTGTCGAAATCCTTTGAAATTTTGAACATAGCCATGCATTAGAATATCATACAACATGATATATAGCAATTATCATAAAAACATGTGCATGCACGTGCGCTGCAATCTGATTGGCTTAAACTTTAAATAGCTATAACTCCCTTGGTTTTCAACCAAACAGGATGGGATTTGGAACATAGATAGATATAATGGACCTCTACAAGAAGGTATGGTCACTATGCACATGCATACACGTGCGTGTACGTGCGGTGCAATCTGATTGCCTGAAACTTTAAACAGCTATAACTCCCTTGGTTTTCAACCAAATGGGGTGGAATTTAGAACATAGATAGATGTAATGGACCTCTACAAGAAGGTATGGTCACCATGCTCACGTATGCACGTGTGTGCACGTGAAATGAGTAAAATCAAAAATACACTTGAATTTTTTAATACTTTTGGATTAAATACTATAATATTGTGTAGACAAGATGATATGGTCATCACGCACATGCATTCACATGCGCACGCGTGCAATGCTCAAATTTGAATGAACTTGATACACTTTTGTGTAAACGTTTTAAAGTCTCAAATGCATAGAGTTTGTCTTATTTAATGAAGCTTACAGGGAATATGGCACCAAATGGGCGTTGGGGAGCGTTTGGGGAACATCTGTAACGGTCCCCGTTACAATTAGCACTAGTTAGTTTTGTTTTTCATGTGAATGCAGCAAAAATTATTGTTCCAAAGCCTTTTATGTTTAAATATTGATAATGCATTACTAAGATTCTAAATTGGAACAATTATTATTTAGGTTTCTGAAGATTCACCCCTTGATGCCTGATGATGAATCACTTCTACAGGAAGTTCTAAGGTTCCTCAGTATGGCCCTGAGGTTGTGTAGTGAGGTACCTGAGGGGACCCTCCAGGTACTGGGGGAGGTCCTGTATCAGCCCTCGGGGCCTCTGATTGGCCTGTCCCATAGGACCTCAGTACGAGGAGAGACGAGGGATGTCCCAGAGAATGTCAACATTAAAAGGTAATAAAAGTATTTATCAGGAAATGACATGCATTTGATATGCCTTTATTTATACTGCTTAACTTTCAACAATTTTCAACCTTTGTATTACGATTGCATTTTTATACCCCCGCAAACGAAGTTTAGGGGGGTATATTGGAATCACCATGTCCGTCTGTCTGTCCGTCTGTCTGTAGACAAGATTTTGTCCGGACCGTTTCTCAGAAACTGTTCGATGGATTTGTCTGAAAATTGATACACTTATTATTCAACATATGAAGGTGTGCACCTGGGATTTTCATCATGATTGGATGATTTTTCTGCATTTTACAGGCGTTTTTTCTTTTTTATTTTGTGATTTTGTTTGGCTCATAACTAGAAAACTATTAGACTTACAATCATCAAACTTGGACAATTTATGCATCTTGGGTAGACGGTGTGTCACGACCTATTTCAAGGTCACTGTGACCTTTAATTTAAGTGATTTTTTAAAAAAAACTAAGTCTTTAAAATTTTAAATTTCATAATCCTAAAAAATGTAAAAATATAGTTGTATCCTTATTAAAAAATGCTAAATTAAGTAAAAACTTATTTTTTATCATATACTTTACAGCAAATTCTATAACAAATGTTAATGATTTGAGAGGAATTCAGTTTGTCCCATGGGCATAATTATCAAGCACTGGTCAAGGAGAATTTTTGATATCAGAAATGTGCATGTCAAATTAGAGAGAAATTAATGAGTTCATTGTCGGGAGTTAACTGGCAAGAGCATCTCTAGATCTAATCTTAATTTATCTCTTGGGAGTTGGGCAAAAAGAAATGGCCTTATAGTTGCTTGTGTTAATTAAGAGTTCTTGATCGCTGTAGTTCAGATAAAGATCTTTTAATTGGTGTAATGTAATTGAAGCAAATTGATGTTTTAGTGTATGATTAAAACTGAATTAGTATTGTATAATATAATTAAAATTAATTATACATGTGTTCATTGAAAAAAAATTACATTTCAATTTTTATATATTTGCAACAAATTGCAGTCATGTCTCACTTGGAATTTCATAGTCCAAAGAATAATTAATTTTTGATTTTTTTTTTTATTAGACTGTAGCATTTCCATTATTTCATAAAATATGCAATAAACAATTTAAAGCTGCAGAAGGATATTTGTTAAGCTCTAACACAGCCAGTTTAGAATTATATGATGTATTATTTGTTTTAATTAATCCCTACACTGTAAGTCTCTTAGAGATGTATGTACAATATTTTAAACATGATAAGAAATGGAAATTAGATCATTGAAATCTGTGTCAATCTGTTAATCAAGGTTACTTAATTTCTTGCACCCTAACCAATTTATGATTATCGAACAATATTTGATGGGCGTATCATGCTGTGGCAAGGCACTTTATTAGACAATAGTGAATACCTCTTACTAGATCCATAAAATATTTCTGAATTGGCACCTACTCTGAAAAACCCAGCGGGGGTATTTGTCCCTATTGGACAGTTCTAGTTGCTATTGATGCATTATGTACCTTGTACCTTCTTGTAGTTTTGGTAAAATTACAGCAGAATCTTAGTCATATATGTAAGACTGTATACATGTATTAAATAGCTGTATGTTTTTCTGCAGGACTCTAGACAAAGAGCTGCTGTCATTCATCTCAACATACAACTGTAAACTCCCCTACGTTCTCTGTAGAAGGTATGTCCCCCCCCCCCCCTCTCCTTTACAGTGTAATAATAGCTGACAATATCATGTTTTACATTTGTTCTTTTGGTGTTTTACAGACTGAGGTTCCAGCAGTTACGAGGAGACCTCTGTCACCAGTTACTACAGCGCTTGAATGTCACAGATGCCCCCCACTTCTATAATCTCTCCTCCCTCGAGGGGACACTCCAGTGCCTCATGCATGTCACTGCCAGGTACTGTACTGACCAAAGTTGTCTTGTTTACAAATTCAGAACTAGAAAAAGAAGTAAATAAACTTGGTGCATATGTAAAGATGTGATGCATCATAATTATAATATTAAATGAGAGTTTTAAAAAATTATTTGTACATGTACAACGTAAGGATACCCAAATTTTGTTAAAAAGTTGCTCAAGTAATTAAAGTTCCTATACATGCTATAATCCGTTGTTGAAGTTTGGAATTTTTATTTCGTTTGTTAATCTGACTTCAGCTGTATTTTATTTATTTTTTACAGACCTGGATGGAGTAGAGAGAGTACAGAACTAGAGGGCAGGACACTGTGTAGTCAGCTACTAGCTTGTCTCTTAGAGGTATAGAATACTTTCTGAATATTAGGCAAAAAAAAAAAATCAGTAGTTTCTCAGGCACTGCCACATCAGATCAAAAACTGCCGCATTGATCAAATTTATCGACATATTGAAAGGGGAATAACTCAATTTTTATTTTTTCCAAGTTGAAAAAAATCGTGTTATTCCCCTTTTGTAAACGCTAAGATAGACTCTTCATTAGATTAACAATGTATTTCTGCTTAAGTTACGAGATTTAATGCATTAACTTTTAAATAAATGTTTAGAATAACTGTATTTAAACCTGGATAGATACTATATTTAATGTACATGTAAAAGAATAAAAATTAAGAATCAATTGATATCATCATTTCGAAACTGTAAAAAAAAAATTTGCCTAATAATGCATTTCATTTGCAAACTACAATTTTTTTTTAGCTCACCTGAGCCAAAGGCTCAAGTGAGCTTTTCTGATCACAATTTGTCCGTTGTCTGTCGTCGTTGTCTTCGTCGTCGTTGTTGTTGTAAACTTTTCAGATTTTCGACTTCTTCTCAAGAACCGCTGGGCCAATTTCAACCAAACTTGCCACAAAGCATCCTTGTATGAAGGGAATTCAAGTTTATTCAAATGAAGGGCCACGCCCTCATTCAAGGGGAGATAATTGGGAATTAATGAGAAATTCGTGGTATCTTTTAAAAATCTTCTTCTCAAGAACCACTGTGCCAGGAAAGATGAAACTTATGGGGAAACATCCTCAGGTAGTGTAGATTTAAATTTGTTCAAATCATGACCCTCGGGGATAGGGCGGGGCCAAAATGGCCAACCAAAGTTTTACTTAAGAAATAAGGTATAATTTTTTGAGTTTTATTGAGATGTAAAACGGGTTGGTCAATGATCAAATCCCATAAAGCCCGAAGGGCTTTATGGAAGATTTGATCATGTGTCAACCCGTTTTACATCTCAATAAAACTCAAAAAATGATACCTTATTACTTATATTTACATTTGTGACTTATTCATACTTTATATTTGCCTGATTGTTACTTTTAACGTGTGAAATGCGTTAATTTTTCAAACCCAACGGCATGTATATAATCCACTAAACGCGCGTCGACCCTTTATGACGTCACAGAGAAATTACGTGGAACGTTTATCCAAACGCACATCTATGACCTCTTGACCCCAAACCTGTATTTACACAGTTATAAAAACGCTTGCCTTCAGTAGTGTTATGTAAAGGAAAACATTTGCAAATGTAAATATATAGAAATATATATGAAAATTCTTTAAAAATCTTCTTCTCAAGAATAACAAAGCCATAATTGATCATATTTATATGGAAGCATCCTCAGGTAGTGTTGATTCAATTTTGTTCAAATCATGACCCCCGGGGGTAGGGCGGGGCCACATTGGCCGAACAAAGTTTTACATAGAAATATTTAGGAAAATTCTTCAAAAATCTTCTTCTCAAGAATAGCAAAGCTATCATTGATCATATTTACCGGTATATGGAAGCATCCTCAGGTAGTGTAGATTCAAGTTTGTTCAAATCATGACCCCCGAGGTAGGGCGGGGCCAAAATGGCCAACCAAAGTTTTACATAGAAATATATAGGAAAATTCTTTAAATATCTTCTTCTCAAGAAAAGCAAAGCCATAATTGATCTTATTTATATGGAAGCATCCTCAGGTAGTGTTGATTCAAGTTTGTTCAAATCATGACCCCCGGGGGTAGGGCGGGGCCACATTGGCCGAACAAAGTTTTACATAGAAATATACAGTGTGTAGGAAAATTCTTTAAACGTCTTCTTCTCAAGAATACCAAAGCCATAATTGATCATATTTATATGGAAGCATCCTCAGGTAGTGTAGATTCAAGTTTGTTCAAATCATGACCCCCGGGGGTAGGGCGGGGCCACAATGGCCGACCAAAGTTTTACATATTAGAAAATCATTTAAAAATCTTCTCAAGAATAACAAAGCCATAATTGATATTTATATGGAAGCATCCTCAGGTAGTGTAGATTCAAGTTTGTTCAAATCATGACCCCTGGGGGTAGGGCAGGGCCACAATGGCCAACCAAAGTTTTACATAGACATATATAGGAAAATTCTTTAAAAATCATCTTATCAAGAATAGCAAAGCCATGATTGGTCATGGGACTACTTTTGGATATAAACTATTCAATAATAAACCAATTTCTACTTTTTCCAGCCACAGTGCTCAGATGAGCGATGTGGCCCATGGGCCTCTTGTTACATTGGTAATGAATGAATGCAAAATTAGTATTTTTTTTCTTAATTTTCTTAATTTTGAAACAGGTTGTGTCAGCTTTTCACATTGGACGGGGAGGAGCTTCGATGTCCTACATGGGAAAAGGTGTCACTAAGGCAGCCACCCTGTGTCTCAGGCATCTCGCTTATGAAATGTCTGTAGAAAATAAGGTCTATATAGAATCCAAAAATGATATGTGTTAGCAAAAATTAAAATCAATTGGAACTTTCCTGAATGGGCCAAGTGAATGGCTTTGTACTTTGTATTTGGTGTATTTTGTCTATGTTCTGAGTGCTGTAAAAAGACCATATTGGCATAATTGTATGCTAGGTTATTAATGAAGCATGTTTGTACAGAAATGGGCTGAGCAGTGGACTTATGTACAACAGAGGGCAGATCAACAGAACACTTCAGACACAGAGGAGGGGCACGGGTTAGACTGGTTACTGACACTGTGGTCCTACAGGGATCCAGAGGTAAGGGCATGGCATCTGTTTGCTTTCCTAATAAAGCAGCACTATAAATGGCATCAAATAGATAAAAATTGATTGCTTTTTACAGTTTTTTTCTGATTTAAAAGTGATTCTCATGTGTTTTCTTATGAAGGTACGAGTAGCTGGACTAGGTATTGGAGTGGCCTTGACCTTTACAGAGAGTGGAAGGACAGTGGTGACCTCTCACTGTAAACACATTCCAGGTGGAGTCTGGGGCGTGGCCTTTAGTATTCTCCTGGACCAATCAGAATGTAGCATGGTCCGGCAGCAGGCAGCCTTACTGTTGGTGAACATGACTTCACAGTCGATGCCCTCCAGCAGTGTGGAGGCAGAACAGAGTACATGGCAGGGGCCGGTTGTTACTGATGATGAGTCCAAGGTTGGTTTTACATCAGTTTCATGAAGGAAGATGCAGGAAATAGAAACAGAGATTTTGTAAATTTAATTTTACTGTGTTGTATACTCTAATGTACTAAGTTTCAGACCAGACTTCCAAAACACACCTGGTAATAGGTCTCAAACAACTTCTGTATGCATACAGTGCATACTTAAAAATCAATCACAGATTACAGATTTCTGTATGTTGTAGGTGTCCTTGGTTGGATTAACAGCCCTGATAGCCTTACTACACCACAGCCACTTCTATCAGGAGATGCTGGTGGTGTTCACCAACTTTTACGCTCAGCCGACCATACAACAGATCTCTGTCACAGATGTGTTGATGTCATCACAGCTGTCGTCTGCTAGCTCCGAGTCCACCATGTCTACCACAGGTAACACAATCAAGAGATACAGGTCATTTCTTACTGTTTCTCGTTCTAATTATTGCCTTTGTAAAAAAAAAATTAAAACATAAACCATACATATTGCTTTCCTTTCTCTCTGCACAGTGCGCAAATGTTGTGCTCAAAATCTCTAGGATTTGTTTTAGAGATAAATTTTACTAATGCATGTATTACAATTTTATCAAGTGAATGATTACTGATTACCTTTTATTGAGTGATCTCTTTGTTTTTCAGCTGATTTGACATCAGTAAGTCAACAGGTAAGTTTATTTACATCTACAAGTATTACAGAAATTTTGTTGTACTTTCCATCTAGTCTGTTTAAAGTTCCCTTTTCACTAATGAGTCACTATTTACAGGGTCAACAGTTCTGGAGCAGAGGAGGGGGAGATTTCCGGGGGAGTGTAAAATCGGGAACCAGGAATGTCCAGACTGGTGGGTGATCAATAAATTGCTACATTTTAGTCTTTTATTTGAGTGATTAGAATTGTAGATTTCTAGTCCATCTACATGTATATGTCTTTTTTTTCATACACACATATTTGTATAGGTATGCAGAATATGAAGTCCTATTTCATATGCATGTGTTTAAATTAAATAAGGTTATTGACTTCTGTTTTACGGTATATTTTTGTGCTTTTTAGGTGTGACACAGCAGGCAGACAGTTCTGGCAGTACACTGATGGCGGGGGAGGGAGGAAGTGACATCATCAGTGTAGCCACGCCCTCTCTGGTGGCCTCCATAGCACAGCTGTTACGTAACCTTGTCATTCTAGCTCCGCAAGACACATTTACTTGTCTCAAACAGGATTCCTTTGTACAAATCCTCACAAAGTAAGCAGATACGTACATGTATTTGAATTATGTGTAAATGTTATTTTGGTGCAATAGAATTTTCACTGTATTGTAAATTCATTTTTAAAATAATCGCATGCAATACAGTAAGTGTAAATTTTAAGGAATCAAAAATTCATATCCTGATTTGAATTTCCGTAAGTATATGAAAGAATACAAACCCTCACATTACCAGTGATACCTTATTTTCATTATAATATATGTGTTAAAGTAATGATTGTGTTCTTTTTCAATACAGTATGTATGATTAACTTTCTGACTATTCCACTACACAGCATGGTGGATACAAACTTGCTGGAGGCATATATGCTGGAGATGGAGGGGCCGGTCAGCTATGACCAGTATGAGGTGGTGTTTGGGGACCTCCTGGAGATGTACCGCTCCCTCCTGTCCCTACTCTCGGCCTGTGTGGTGTACGACACTCCCACCAGACAAGACATCCTGGCCAACAAGGACTTCATCATGTCTGCCCTAGCTCTGATGACCATCAGATTCAAAGGTAAGACAGGACACTAGATTCTTTTTACCTTCTTATTTCTTAAAGAATTTATCTGAAAATCTGGTTTCTGAAATTCTGATAACTGTTTTAGGATGACTGAACAGATTGCATTATCCTAAGACTAAAATAATTGCATTGTCCAAAGACTAAAAAAATTGCATTGTCCAAAGACTGAAAAAATCGCATTGTCCTAAGTATTTGATTAGTAGGTACATGTACGTTGATATGTAATCATGACTTGGAATCTTCATTGGTTAGGTTCATCGGATGTGGAATTAAAACTACAGGAGCTCTGGGGGTCAGTTTTGTCTTTCTTTGTCACAAACTTACAACTTCAAGGGGCATCAACTCTAGCAGTGCTGACTGAGTGCTTACCAAAAATCTGGAACTCTTTCTCTGGTTTGTACACATTAATTGATAGTTTTTAACATAGAACATGTATTTCTTATATTTTTCCAAGTTCATTAAAGTATCCTCAGACTTCATTGTCATAAAAGTAGAACATAAAGAAGTGCAAAGTACAAGAAAGAAAACTTGTCTAGTAAAGATAGGATAATAATGTTTGACATGAAATGAGGTTGTTTTTTTAATTTTATTATAACAAAGTCTGACAGATTTGTTGTACATGTGTAAAGATGTTTATAAAGGTTCAGTCTATAAATACATGTTGATTACAAATGCAATTTTCAATTCTCTTTTTACAGAAAACCTATGTAACATCATTAGAAAAAGACTGGACCTAGAGCATGACTTATTCTCCATGTGTCTACAGTTTCTCTCTGTATTGTTAAGTGAGGAGGGGAAACTCTGGGGAAGACAAGTAGAACTGACTAATGTCACAATCACAGAGCTCCTGGACTCTAGTGAGTTTAACGTCACACAGATATTCTTCATCTCAATTTCATAAATGCATTACATGTACTGTTACATGTAAAGAAGCAAAAATAGTTTTGATTTACACTATGGTATGGTATTTGTTATCATAATTATATGACATACTATGTCATGTTATATCTAGATATAGTCTGTCAGATTGAATTGATGTCCTTGTCAAATTCTTGTGTGGGGTGTTACCTTACAATGAATAATGAAAAAGTGTCATATTGTTTATAGGTAATGGAGATGAGAGAGAAGAGAACAGTTCTGGCTGGCGTCTGTGTGAGGCGTTGATTCCAGTGTATGAACAAATGGTAATACGCTCTACAGATCACAAAAATTCCGAGAGACTTCACGCCGCCGCGGCACTCAGGAATTTGCTGGCTGTCAGTCAGACCGCAAAATCGGCAGCTTTACAGAGTAAGACACGACCACTACACAGCAGTCAAAATTAGAATCACACCTGTCTATAATATCATTGTATAATTTATATTCTTCTCCATGCATCATCCTCTGAAAATTTGGATTTTTTCTACTCCATTTGTCTACTATTTCAATGTGATTTTGAGATAGGATTAATAAATTAAATTGGTATCAGTGCTTTCAGAGTTTATCAATAAGTTTAAAGTAAATAGTGTACATGTATTTTAAAAAAAAAAAAAAAAAAAAAAAGAGTCGCTGAATTTATGTAATAGTATGCTTTTGTGCTTGGTTTTCCAGTGGGTTTTGTTGAGACTACAATAGAAAATGTCAAACAGCTACATTCCAAAATTAACCTGGAAGCCCTGCAACTGGGAAAAACTACAGCAAAAAAGAAAGATGATTCTTTGGTCCAGGATCTTGTCATAATTTTTGACATTCTTAGAAATCTACTTTTCATGAATGAAGATGCCAAGGTAAAATGAAATAGTTTATAACACACTAGTGTGAATCGTTCCTTAAATATTTTTTTAAAAGCTGGAGGTGTATGTGGGCCAATATCTAACAAAAGTTAGAGTTATACATAGACCCACATTTTATATATAATGGAAGATAAAAAATTAATGAAATGTTTTGTCTTTCAGATGGCTTGCTATCACTCAGATCTCCCTGCAGTCATTTACAAGATTTGGCCATGGTGTCAGATGGAGCCGCAGTTAATGATCTCCACCATTTCTCTCCTGTCCACTTATGTGGCTAAATGTTTAACTGGTAAGGCAATATTACAACAATAAATAAACAGATACAACTTTCCTTTTAGAATTTAATCTTTTTTTTCAGAGAGAGAGAGAGAGATGGTGTGGTCGAGGACATATTTCAGAAATGTCCTCTTTTATATCTGAGACTTTCAATTGAATAATTCACATTAAAAAATAATTTTATTCTAATTGTCTATTTTCCAGCTGCCAGTTCCCTGGCTTACACCTCTCCATCCTCAACATCCACCATCCAAAATGTGAGATCCTCCTCCAGTCAACTGGGCACCAACTCCTTAGTCCACTGCCTACTGAAACTGGCAGGGAAAGATGGAGTCAGGGAACCACTGTTAAAGGCTCTTTATGGACTTCTGGCTACACTCGCTCTGTCATCTGAGTGCCGAAATATCATGTTCAAAGTAGGTCGTTGTTCTATTTTCAGCCTGAAAGATTCAAGTTTTTAAATGCAAAAAAAAAGCATTTATTCAAAATACTCTGGTCATTATTTGTGTCTACATTGTCAAAGTTTCCAAGTTTGATATGTATACTTAATTACTAATTGAAATTGAATCTTGATTTTTATCTTCTTGTTTAGAGCAACTTTTTCCGAGAGTTTACAGAGTTAAATCCCAGGAAAACCAAGAAGACTAAACATAATAAAAATCTAGAAATCTACTGGTTGGAACTGATGGTAAATTTGTCCTTCTCCACTGAAGGCCAACAGATGATTCTGAAAACAGGGGGTAGGTAACAGATATTACTGTAATATTGTTTATTAAGGAAATACAATGAGTTCATAATTGAAATACAACACAACTGTTCATGGTATCTTCCATACAAACATGTACAGGTGTACTACAGTGTATATAATTATGTCTTCATAAGTAAAAAAAAAACCTATCAGTAGTTCTTTTTTCATCATTTTATTCCAATGAGCCTTATTCTTCCAGATTCTGTGGATCTACTGCTAGATTTTGTGGAGTGTGGGAATGGGGCCACCCTGGAGTATTCCATACTGATCATCAGAAACATGTGTTGTCACTGCAGCAGCAAACCTAAGCTACTAGCCAATGGTAAATAATCCATATTTTACTGGTACTGGTACTTTGGAGTATCCTAATAAGAAAATGTGGATTAAATCTTCTGTATAGTAGAAGTTAATGGATTTTCTTTAAAATTGTAGATAAACTGCTGCCTCTTCTGCTGGCCTGCTTGAACAAGGATTCTGTTAAAGTTCAGACCATTGCAGCATCAGCTCTTCTGGGTCTGGTGTATAATAACCAAAAGGTGAGGAAAAAGTTTGTGAGCATCACAAGAAGTTTTTATACATTTTGAAGAAATAATCATAAAAACACATACATGTACATGTATTTATATATGAAGGTTAAGTTAGTTGTCATCTGGCAAGACTAATTTATGATTAATACATGTATTTTGAAATTGATCATTGGTTCTCATAGTTTACTTTCATTTGCTACAATAAGAGTTGCCATTTATAAAATGTGCTATGTTTGAAATGGTGATATCCTCATTTCTACATTTAAATTCTTTAGATCATCATTCAAATTGTCAGTTTAAAGAGATATATTATTTTTTTCTGGATTACTTAATAATTCTTTATTATTGCAGGCCAAAGTGATGCTGAAAAATGCTAATCTACTGCCTAAAATACAAGAAATTTTATCCAATCTCAACAATCTACAAAGTACACCAGAAAAGTGTGTGCAGGATTTGACTTCAGTGCTTGTAGCTGTATCGGAGTGAATGTAATCCGTACAAATTAGTGCTCTTATGATAGTTACTAGAACAGTTCCTATACACAAAGCTAGAAATATGAATTGAGAAATAAAAGAGCTCATCTGTGATATTACATGTACATGTATACCATTTATATGTATAGTAGCAATGCTACATTTGATCAATAAATTATAAATGTATGTTTGTTTTTTATCTTAATTACATCTCATGGCCGCCAAGAAGCACTTTAAAAGTGTACTTCTTGTCAGAAAACACCCATAAGGTTTTTTGCAATCTTTGTGTCAAATCTCAGTTCTTCCATCTCAAATGCATGTTCCTGTTCTGAATACAATGTGTAAACACTGCCAATCCTAATTGACTTGAGGGTTCCGAGTTCAGAAGTTCCGGTCACAGAAAAAGAGTATCTTTGCCAAGTTAATGCCTACATCTCTGCATTTAACAAAACAATGTCTAAAGTTAGTATTTTAGAGCCAAAGCACAGTCATCTTATCACTTGAAGCTTCGATGCAAGGTGACATTAATAATTGTTATATTTAATATAGTTTACTTTTTTATGTCACATCAATCTTACAAACTTTATAGATTTTAAAATACATAAGAATATCTAAAAGAAAATTTATGAGCCAATTTCTGTACTGTGATTAAAAAGCAATTCCTTTAAAGTATTTATATGTACTAAGACACATCTTCACCCACCAACAAAACGTTGTTTTTTTTTTTCAGTTGTAAAATTTTATTGTTAAAATGTAAAGTTATAAAAAACATTACAAAAAGTTCTTAAAACGTTGACACAGCTGTAACAAATGTTTTCCTTGATACCAATATCAACAGCAACAACCAATTAGTATCAATAAAGACTACAATGGACCGTGGTACAATTCAGACAGTTTGTGACAACAGAAAACAGACCTTCCATACATGAGTCTACAAATGAGTTAAGAAAAAGTGACCAGCTTACAGTCACAATTAAAACATCTCATAATTGATATTCACTGATGAACTGGAAAACCTATCTCATTTAAATATTACTGTCAAACTCCTATGGTAAAAACAGGGACATAAAATTGACCAATGCATGTATAATGAAGTTTTAAAGAGTCCCCTGCTGGATTCTTTAAGATTCCTTCTAAAATGTGACAGTTACATCAATCTTATGTATCAAATGTATGGATATAGCGAGTTGAAAATATAAAATTGACATTACTTTTAATTGAAATTTTATAATTAACAGAAGTTTGGCTTTGAATTTAATTATTCTTGAATTATCGCCATTCGATTCATCGCCATTTTCGGCCATGATTTGAACGTTTTTTGCTATATATTCTCTTTATAACGCCAAATTTACATACCTCCATCCGCCACCCTGTTTTAACAAAAAACGTCCATTTTTAAGTGTCAATTTTCGATATACCGCCACAGGTGCGTGCGGAAGTGGCTATCCCTGTTGTAAAGCATGCAAAGCCAGCAAGGTATACGCAATTAAATAATTAGATTAAATTAAATGAACAAATAATTTTAATATGAACTGTTACAATGATGTTGTTCGTTGTTATAAAAAATTCACGGCTTCGTCACTAAATATGTTATTATTTTGATGTGCTTTATAATTGCCTAAAAAAATTATGGTATAAACGCTAACAATGATGCCATAAACAATAAATTTATTCAAGAAACCACATGTAAAATATACACAAGCATGTTTTTTTTCCAATATCAGACGTGCCGATCTTCATGTACATAGATGCACATGTACTTGTCTTTATTTCATAACTGCACAAGAAATTGTACATAAAAAATTACTTGAAGTATTTTAAAATTTAGAAATATGTTTATTATACATGTACATGTAATTATAAGAATAGAAACGCTTTATATGGTATTTGTGTAAGTTTTCTAAAAGATGGGAAATTCAATTCAATTCGTTATACCGCCATGATTTCTAAATCACAAAAGGTGGCGGTATATTAACTGTACATGAAGGAGCATATTTTGGTTTTCATCGGAAGGAAAACATGCATATCACAAATTTGCCTTACCGGTATATTCTTAACAATATGTTATATGGTTATAATAAAATGGATAAAGCACATGCACATGTAAAAATACATAGGTTCACCATAACTTTTACTGCATTACACAGTAATACTGAATGTACATATCTGTGAAAGTTTTCATTCTCAAATAACATGTATATTAGCTAAAACAATCCTTAGTGGAACAACTACATTTACAATGTACAAACTTCACAAATCAAACTAATAACCATACTACCTGTCTAATACAGTAAATGTAACAAACACAAAATTTTAATAAAAAGTCTAATTCAGCTAGCAAGGAGATATGAAAAATTGTCATTAAGAAGTAGACAGAAAGTTTTTTTTCAATTATGACTAGAAAAAACATGATTATAAATAAACAAAAGCATCTAGAAAATGTCCTATACAGATATCTGTATATGTAAATAAAATCACCAAAATCTGGACATTGACCTGTAACAGTTTGCATTGAATGTGAAACATACACGTAACAAAACATATCACAGATGTTTCAGAGCAACAAAATCTTTAAGATAAGGGGGAATTGGCAAAGATTTCACCTTTAACAACAGAGTATTTCCAAGGCACCTTCGCACTCTGATTCGGCACAATGACTGCAGGGAGAGCGGGTTTTTGTGGAAGTTTTTCAGCCAGTCTGAGATCTCTTTGTGGTTAACATGCTGGGGATGAAGTCTAGGCACAATAAGGACTCCAGGAATGGTCTGGATACCAGACAGAAATAACATCTTCATCAGGTGGCCATTGTTGCTAAAACAAAATGTTTTAAAGTTCATCATCGAGAAAATGGGCATTCAAAACAGAAATGTATGAAATTTATTGACTGTTATTATGCTCATAAATGAAAATATTGTTCTGCATGTCAAGGATAAATAATTTCCCTCATTATTGCATTACATAAAATCACATATCATCTTTAAGTTTAACTTACCAGAACATATCTGTGACCCCAGGATAATGAGGGAGGGGTAACTTTGGACATCCTCTCAGTAAAACTTCAGCTGTTTGTATGTGGCCTCTGTCAAACACCTTAGAAATACTACTCAAGCTGGAAAAACAGCAGTTGGTATATTAATAGTGCTTTTTTCACAAGTATGCAAAGGTTTTTACTTTTTAATTGAAGTTACAACATGTTTTATGTTAAATACATCTGATTATCATTGGAATTTTCCTGTATATACAATTACATGATTACAATATATGCTATGTCCAAATACATAAAGCAATCAAGTTCCACTTTTCTGTGGCTGAAATAATTCACAAGAAAATGTAATAAAATAAAATGCTTGAAATGAACCCAATTAAATGAACAAGAGAAGTCTTTTGTGAAATCAATGTGTTGAGAATAAAATTCATTGCATGATGGATACAATAATTGAACAATTGGATTGTCTCTTTATGTCAGATATATGAAGAATGGTTATTATTCCTTTAAAAAGCATATAGATTACTTCATCAAGTACAAATAACATGTATTAGTGAAACTTTCAGAGTAGGTGAATACATATTTCTAGTAAGAGATGTTTTATTTTTCTTGCAGCATTCGTCAAATACATGTCTTAAATTGGTTAGGGTAAGAAAATCAAGTAACCTTGATTAACAGATTGACACAGATTTCAAATTAATTTCCATTTCTTATCATGTCTATTGTACATTTTAAGAGACTACATGATTAATTATAAAAAATAATACATCATATAATTTAACACTAACAAATATCCATCCAGTTTTAAATTGTTTATTGCATATTTTATGAAATAATGGAAACACATTAATATATAAAAATCTAATTAAAAAAAGTATTCATGGCAATAAAAATTTTCATGATGAAATTTGTTGCAAATAATATATAAAAATTGAAATTTTTTTTTTTCAATGAACACATGTATAATTAATTTTTTAATTACAATACTAATTCAGTTTTAATCATTAAAACATCAATTTGTTTTAATTACAACACCAATTAAAGATCTTTATCTGGACTATTCAAGAGCTCAAACATAAACTATAAGGTCATTTCTTTTTCCAATATCCAGATAAATTAAGATAAAGCTGCTAACAACTGCTTTTTGACAATAAACTCATTAATTTCTCTCTAATTTGATGCACATTTCTGCTATCAATACCTCTTACCAGTGCAAATGGCATGGGACAAAAATTCCTCTCAAAACATTAACATTTGTTACAGAATTTGCTGTAAAGTATATTGAAAAAATAAGTTTTTACTTAATTTAGCATTATTTAAAAGGCTATATTTTTACATTTTTTAGGATTATGAAATTTAAAATTTTAAAGACCTTTTTTTTTTTTGCCTTTAAATCACTTAAATAAAAGGTCACATACCTTGAAATAGGGTACACATTTGCATAAATTGACACAAGTTTATGATTGTAAGTCAAAGTTTTCAAGAGGTCCAAACAAAATCACAAAATAAAAAACACTGTAAAATGCTGTCATCCAATCATATGAAAATACCAGGTGCACACCTTCATATGGTGAATAATAAGTGTTAAATTTTCAGACAAATCCATCCAACAGTTTCTGAGAAAGGCGCTGCATTTCATTTCAGACGGACGGACAGACAGACGGACATGGTGATTCCAATATACCCCCCTAAACTTCGTTTGCAGGGGTATAATAACATATATTAGTGAAACTTTCAAGTGAATACAATTAGCAGTGTTTTATTTTTCTTGCAGATTCCAAATACATGTCTTCTGTTTAAGATCGTAATCTCCAAACATAAATTACTTTCCCTTTTGGTCCTTGTACATTTTTATGCTCTACAAAAAACATAATTAACACTTGCCTCCTTTATTTTGATAGCTGTACACATTTTATCATATCCATTAAAGTATTCACGGCAATAAAAATTTTCATGATATTTATGAACATGCATTTATTTCTTAAAAAAGCTATGGTTTAATTATCTATTGAGTATTTGATTCAAGTGTATAAACACATACTCAGCGTTCAAGAGCTCAAAATAAACAGTGACGTGTATCCAATATCCAGTCCATTAAATAAATTACTAACAACTGCTTTTTGATAAATCTAGTTTTAGATGAAGTACAATACCTCTTATTGGCAAATGGCTGAGATAAAATGTCAGCACCCAGATTCATCAAATACTCCACCACTTCATATTTGTTATTTTCTATGGCCAGTTGAAAGGCAGTTTGACCATTAGAATTCTTCAATATTGGATTAGCCCTGCCTTTAAAAAAAGAAAGATATAAATATACATTTTAAATTGACACAGCTTTATTTCTACAAAGTTTACAAGAGGTCCATAGACCACAACACTGATCTGTGTCACTATATCCCTGCTGTTCATCATCAGCAGAACTTTTTCTCATATCCTACCCGTGAGGGGGTATGATTTGAACAACCTTTTAATTACCGTGACTATCCGAGGACTAATCATGTCTTTGCTGTTACTGAAGAGAAGAAAATATAGAGATGTAACATTTTGGCCCCACCCTACCCCGGGTATCACGATTTGAACAAACCTTTATCCACACCTGGGTGATGCTTCTAAATAAATATTTTTAATCATGTCTTTGCTGTTCTTGAAAAGGAGAACTAAAAGGAATTATTATTGTATAGATATTCCCATGTTCCTAAATTTTGATCCTCCACTGTGCCCACATCTTTTTCCTGAAGGTCAGGACATGAATTAATTTGAACCTACACTATTTTATGAAGTTGTCTCCTAAGTTTAAACTTTTCTGGCCCAGTAAGGTCCCATTTCAACCACTTGCTTTTGATTTTCCTAGTACTTTCATTTTACTTAAGAAAGCAACAAACAATAGTTATTTTTTTAAATCCCCTCTAACTAGAAAAAAGTACCATTCATAAGAATCGTAACTGCCTCCAGATTCCCCATTCTACATGCGATGTGTAGTGCACTAGTGCCATTGACATCTGTGTTGTTCACATCACAATGCTGCCCAACCAGGTACTCCACAATATCTAAGTGGTCTGAAAAAAAATAGTAAAACACAGCCTCTTACAGTTTCAAATTCCATCATGTAAAATGTAAATACATAAAACCATCTATAAGACACCATCTATTTCATACCTTTCTGTACTGCCTCTGCAAGTGGAGTTACACCATACTTATTTGCAAAATCCTTGTTGCAACCTGCTTCACAAAGTGCCTTCAAACAGACAGATTAATGAGATTATGTAAGTTTATACACTAGCTTTATTTAAAGATATTATTACCCTGGTATCTAAAATATTTTAGACACACTCCATTAAGGATCAAGATCACTATCTACAATTACAAAACAGAACGGTAAGGTAACAATGAGGGATAGCATCTAAGGGTAGGGTTGGAGAGATGAAATTGTACTAACTTTAATTTCTCAGAAAAAAATCTGCTGACTTCTTTGAATGTTAAATACATAGACACCACTTTACTTCCATTTTCCCCCCCAAAAAATTCTTACCTGTGTGATTGGTAACAATCCTAGTCTTGCAGTTAAGAAAACAGGAGCATGGTCCTGACTGCCCAAATTAACATCACAACCAGCATCTATAAGCATGTGCACTATAGCCGAGTTCCCCCCCTTTATGGCTGTATAGAGGGGTGAGATGTTCACATTGTCTGGGATCTGGACGTCAGCTCCCTGTTGTATTAGATATTCCACTATCTCTGTGTTACCATGCTCTACAGCTACATGGAGGGGGGTCTGATGAACGTACTGTGTTGTCTGGTTTATACAAGCTCCTTCTTGTAACAGTATTTCACATATCTTCAGCTGATTGGCTCGGGCAGCACAGGTTAATGGTGTCTCTCCATGTATGTTATGAATGTCTAGGACGGTGTTGGTGTAGATGTAGTCCCCTATCTTCATCATTCTTGTTTTCTCACTCTGCTCCTGTAAAATGTTGAAAAAGTTTTTATCAACTCAAGTTTTGATATTAAAAAATGTTTTCACAATAAACAAGACACTTTTTTTCAATACCTTTAAGACCTGTATCTTCATCAAACTCATGAGTTGAAACTTTAAAAAATTATCAAAATTATTGGAGGACTGATAAACAAACAGACTTAGTAAACTCAGTAAACTGATGAACATAAAATGTAAAGATTGAATTCAGGCTTTTATTTTTTCTTACACTTTGTTTGATGTTTTCAATGATTATTTCTACCATTTCCTCTCTTCCTCTGCTACAGGCATATGCTAATCCATCTATTACATAGTCTGTGTCCCCTCTATCCAACAGCATAGATTTCAGATCTGTTATGTTGTTGGTCTTGATGATCTGGAATATTTTCTCCATGTTTACTTGTTTATTTACTGTCTAACACTCCCTGAAAAAAATTATAATAGTTAATTACTAAACAAACAGATTTGTTATCTATGCATAATATAATCATGATAATAATACATTAATATCTTCTTTTAAACTTAATTAGTTCTTTAAAACTGGTTTAGCTATAAATTAATTTAAATTTACACTTATTTACCATGCAATAGAATAATTTTTTTTAAAAAGTAATAATTAAGGACATAGGTACATTCTTTGTTAACATAATAAAAACAAAAAGATATACTACAGTTAAAAATTAAAATTGATATATGTAAATACAAATCTTTGAAATGCAATTAACTCTTTTGTGATCAGCATCTCTCTCTTTTAAGTAATTTGACTATTTTTTTTTTTTATATAAAAGTAAAGTATTTTAGCTTAGTTAAAATGTGAGGAGCATTCTCAATTGATGAAAAGAAATTCTGGAACTGTACTTAAATGTTGTGTTTTTCCCTTGGGAAGGCTATATGGGATCGATTGAGTAAAAATAAGCACAGAATATTAACAACCAAAGACATACAATCCTCACACTATCAGGGGTCTATAGACCAAATAATAAGTCCTTTGGTCCCTGATAAATTTCATTCCTTTTTTTCAGGCCTGCATGAGCATCTTTCATTGGGAGGCAACAAATCAAATACTGGGCTTTAAATAATTCATCATATTTTTTGGCTCACACAATTATGTCTCTTCTCCTATAATCATAACACAGGAACATTACCTTTCCCTTATTCAATGGGCTACATCAATGCTTCTTCACTCATCACCTTTGCTCTTTTAGGGTCATTGTCTTCAATTTAATTATTTACTGCAGCTGTGCTTATCATATCCTTATGACTTTCTGAAAGTTTAATTTTAAGTAAAATCAATTGTTTTTGGGTATAAAATAATCAACACAGCCTTAAAACAGTATTTTTTTTTAAATAGTTACAGCTTCCGTAATGAAACCTGCATTGAACTTTCAAAATGTAAACAAACAAACGTGCAGACATTGCATGATTGATGCATTATGTAACTTCTTCACTTGAAACGATCAGGGAAAAAACGATGGAAATAAAATATCAGATAATGGTATCAATTTTTATTTACCTTTCATGTCCTTGAGATTAAATTATCGTGCAATCTACATCATCTTAGGGTCAGGTCAATATATACAAATGACATCACAACAAAGTGATTCATCCCTCTGCCACATTTTTAGCACAACTGCGCATGCGCAATTGCTCAGCCATCCGGGAGATTTTTCGATCCAAGATGGCGCCGATTGGCGAAAACGAAGAGAGGATGGGTTCGACTGTAGCAGATGATGATGAAAATGAGAGCCAAACTCTCTGGTAGTTGCATAGATTATTTTATTTTCAAATTGCATATGCAGTTGATAAGAAAAGAATGACAAGATTAAATTGCTGATGGCAATTTCAATCACCTCATCCATTCATCAGCTCATCATAATTTATCGAGGAAAAAATACTGTGACATTTTCTTTGATGATAACAGCTTATTTTCCACATTGGTCATTTATGTTCGCATTTCCTTTTTATGAAAGTGGCGTATCATGTACAAGAACGGATGCGTACATTCTTAATGCTGAATAAAAGTAACTCGAGTTTCCTCAAGTGTGCAGAGAGGGTCTTGATAAGTGCTAATCTTGTGTTCCTTTTGGAACAAAAGAAACAAAGTTGTTCCTTTTGGAACAAATGAAACAAAGTTGTGTCGTCTGGAACAAATGAAACAAATACAAAGGAAAAGACATGATAATTGTTGATTTAGAATGATGTATAATGCTTGATTGTCTGACTGGGAAGATGCTGCAATAATTTTTTGAAAAGGATTTTAAAGGGCCATGAATTAGATCTGGAAGTTTTTCGATTTATATATTTAAAAATATTAGGTTAAATTTCATCAAAGACATAAATAGTTATTCACAAACCAATATTAAATTTATATTCCAGGCATTATTTTAAAAATTCTCTTCAAAGTTTAATGATATGTTTTACCTATGAGTCGTATGACTGTTAAATCAAGCACATTTTTTTTCTATATAACAAAATGCATTGTAGAGTAATTGCATTTTTAGAACTACCTGTGGTACTGCCATTTGCCTTTAATGCTTAATATAGTGGCATCAAAAGACTTTGGGGAAGAATTCGCACAAAAATTTGCTCAAGAAAAGGACAGTTTGTAGTTCGAATTGCCTGGTCTCACATGTTATTCTTTAGAATTCCCATTGCAAACTCTTTGCAGGCCGCTCACTGCACTTACATTCATTGTATCATTTTCCAAATGGCCCATTAAAAAATTAGACAGTTGTGTTATTGTCTGAATAGAGATAACTCATTGATAAAACCTCAAACATATACACATTGGATAATTCATGTACATGTCAATATAATTAGGAAAAGAAAATACTAGGTTCATTCTAATTTATATTTTTATTTACAACAGTAAAAACCTCAAAATAAATCACCCAAAATAGTTTTAAGTAAAGAAATATGTTGATTGAAGAAAAATCATCAATACTAAATGTTTTAAAGTCTCTCAACACTTCTTTGTGATGCAGGAAGGTCTCTTTCCAAACAAAGGGCATTTTACTACTTAGACTGACACAAGAGTAAGAGGAAATGATCTGAGTTGTTGATGTAAGAATGTTGTCAAACTTGTTGATCAGTTTTCTTGCAATTTCAAAGATTTTCTTTTCTTTTTTAGGGCAACCATCTTGGGAGAAGTTCAGTCAAGTTCAGCAACCAATTTGCCATCAACAAAATCAGTATTAGTACTAGGTAAGAAAAAAAATTAAGGTTATTTAATATTTCAGCTAAATTAATTTAAAAGTGAATGGAAATAAATCTAGTTTTTGAGTGCAGAAGGCATAAAAATATATTTGTAAATGAAATCACATTCAATGTCAAAATAGAATTTCTGTTCTTTTGATACTATTGGAACGAGTAAATAAGAGAAAGATCAAATTTTGAGTATTTCAAATGTAAAACCAGGAAGATTTTCACATAAAATGATCAAGCTTGTGTATTGATAATAAAACAAAAATTATTGATAATCAGGTGACAATGAGAGCGGTAAGACCACATTGGTGGCACGTCTACAGGGGGTGGAGGAACCCAAAAAAGGCTCGGGCCTGGAGTACTACTACATAGACGTCAAAGATGACTACAGGGACGGTAAGTAATCATTCAGCTGAAAAATAGCTCTCAGGAGCTTATGTTTCTTGTTGTCAAAATTAGACTTTAAATAAATATTGCTTTGTCAGAAATGTTAGAGTGTTACATCAACATGTGCATGTACCACATAATGTTCAAAATTGTTTTATAGATGTGATAATTCATGTTTCCTAGAATGGGCATGGGTCATTATACAAACATTTTGCTTATCAAGAATCTCAGAATATCATAGATATTTTATTTTTTGTTTGATGAATGGTCATTTTTTTGAATTTTAGATCAAACACATGCTGGAGTGTGGGTCTTGGATGGGGACCCCAGTCATACTGGCCTACTGAAGTTTGCTATCACAGAAGAAAACTTTGAAAATATTCTAGTCTTGCTTGTGGCCTCCATGAACCATCCTTGGTCCATCATGGAGTCACTCAACAAATGGGCATCCTACCTACAGGAGCATATAGACAGATTAAAACTAAAACCAGAAGATCGTAGAGAATTTGAGGAAAGCTGTAAGTGTAGTGATAGGAGAAACTTGACAATGATAAAAGTTGATCTTTAAGATAATATATACAGTCAAACCTTGTTGTCTCAAACTTGAGTGGACCAAGGATTTGAGATATAAAGGGTTAAATACTTAAAGGATAAGTTTTTGGGAATTCGAAATCACTGTAACGTATCCATGGTAATTGAGATATCAGTGTAAGAGATACTTTATTTTCTTGATCAAAGAGTCCTTGTCTTGTGATAAAAGTTATGTTATTAGCCACAGTGACTGATAAACGTGAATCTTTTTTTTAGGTCACCTGAGTAACTCAGGTGACCTATTGCTATCCGTTTTCGTCCGTCGTGTGTCGTGTGTTAACATTTGAACATTTTCAGCTTCTTCTCTGAAACCACTGAACCAATTTCAACCAAATTTGGTATACAGCATCTATGGCTGAAGGGGAACAAAAATTGTGAATTTTACGGTCCCTGTCCCCCTGGGGCCTGAGGGATGGGGCCAAAACCACCAAAATTATTGCAATCTTTAAAAATCTTCTTCTTTACTCCTGGACATCAAGCAGTCAAACTGTTGGCATGAATTTAATGAGCATTGAGTCCTCTACCAAAATTGTGAAATTCATGTCCCCAGGGTCAGGGGTTCTTGTGCTAGGGCGGGGCTATATAGATTATATAGTGAAAATGCATTATTTCTTTGAAAATCTTCTTCTCTGCTCTTGGGTATTAAGTAAACTAACTAAGCACATAGTTATGTTGAGCAAGAGTGCCTCTTCCAAAATTGTGAATTTATGACCCCAGGGTCAGGGGTTCTGGTGTTAGGGCGGGGCTCTATTGATCATATAGTGAAAATGCATTAATTCTTTGAAAATCTTCTTCTCTGCTTCTGGGTATTAAATAAACTACATAAGTACATAGTTATGATGAGAAAGAGTGCCTCTTCCAAAATTGTGAATTTTATGGCCCAGGGTCAAGGGTTCTGGTGTTAGGGCGGGGCTCTATTGATCATGTAGTGAAAATGCATTTATTCTTTGACAATCTTCTTCTCTACTCCTGGGTATTAAATAAACTAACTAAGCACATAGTTATGATGAGCAAGAGTGCCACTTTCAAAATTTTGAATTTTATGGCCCCAGGGTCAGGGATTCTGGTGTAAGGGCGGGGCTCTATTGATCATATAGTGAAAATGCATTAATTCTTTGAAAATCTTCTTCTCTGCTTCTGGGTATTAAATAAACTAAGTAAGTACATAGTTATGATGAGAAAGAGTGCCTCTTCCAAAATTGTGAATTTTATGGCCCCAAGGTCAGGGTTTCTGGTATTAGGGCGGGGCTCTATTGATTATATAGTGAAAATGCATTAATTCTTTGAAAATCTATTCCATTGCTCTTGGGTTTTATGCCAATGATCCAAGTATATATATATTTGTGATGAAGAAAGGTGCATCTAGCAAAAAGGTTATTTTTTATGCCCCTTGGGTTTGGGGGGGGGGGGGTAACATAGTCTGAAAATAAATTAATGCTTTGAAATCTGCTCTTTAGTATTAATCAACCATTTTATGATAAAATTTGCAAAATTTTGAAATATGTGTCCCCAGGGTCAGTGGTTCCTTTGGGATGAGGTGCACAAGTGGTTATAAAGTGGAAGTGCATTTTCTCTTTGTTACTCTGATCTACCTCTGGGTATTACGTAAATAGAGAAAGCATGCTAAGTTTATAATTATGATAAGCAATGGTGCCTCTTTCAAAATTGTGAATTGTGATTTTCATGGCCTCTGGGGTAAAACACGAACCAATTTTAATTATTTGAAAGTTGTTACACGATACTCAGGTGACCTATAAGGCCCGTGGGCCTCTTGTTTCAAAAGCTATGGATCAAGATGTACACTTTGTTTGCTCTTTATGTTGTCTAGCTGGATATTCTTATTTTATCTCCCTATTTTCTGCACATTATTCTAAGTACACAATGCTGTATATGAACAATTTCTTGACTTGCAGTGATCAGATTCTTCCAAGAGTACACAGAACCAGATGAGAACAGCTCTGGGAGTCAGGTTCCCTCCCACAGGCGGGACGTGAACCCCCTCCACCCCACAGCCAGTCACACAGAGGAAGACAAAGTCTTACTACCTCTAGGAGAAAACACCCTATCACAGAATCTAGGAATACCTATAGTAGTAGTTATAACTAAGGTAATAAATAGGGAATTCATATTAGGTTTATCCAGAGTTAAGCCTTAGATTTGTTATTGAAAAGATTATTAACATGAAATCGTTAATTTGGACTTACAGTTGGAAGTGACATGCTTCACACAGAATTGTCAACCACAAAAAAAAGTAAAAATCCATTTCAAAATTGATGATTTTATAAAGTACATGTATATTTTTTTTTCAGAGTGATGCAATCTCAAATTTAGAAAAAGAGCATGACTTTAAAGAAGAGCACTTTGATTTCATACAGCAACATATTAGGAAATTTTGTTTGCACTGTATCCTTTATATAAATTGTATATTTGTGGATTTTATGTTACAATAAACAGTGAAATTCAGATGGAAAAAAAACAAGAAGTCATACTTTAGGTGAACGACAAATTAATGGATATAAGCATGATTAATTTCATGTTCAACATGCACTGTAAATCATAATTTCTTATTCATTTAAATACTGCAATGATGTTTTAGATAAAATACATGTACTTGAAACACATTGTCCTTAACCTAGACAAAGATGGTGCAGGATTAGTTTATACCTCTGTCAAAGAAGAGAAGAACTGTGATTTATTGTACAAATATCTAGTGCATAGAATTTATGGCTTCCCATTTTCGTCACCAGCATATGTAGTGGAAAAGGACTGTGTTTTTGTGTAAGTTTCAACAAAATATAAACAAAAACAAAATATGTTGTGCTGAAATCCCTCAATGTAGGTGCTTTATGTTATGGGTAGCTTTTCAATTTATTTTCAGTCCTGCTGGTTGGGATAATGAGAAGAAGATTAGTATATTGTATGAAAATTTACACTCCATGAAACCAGACGACTGTTATGAAGAAGTCATCACAAAACCTACTAGTACAAGGAAGGTAATGTCATATGAATCAAAACTAATATAGTTTCAGTTTTATATTATGAAGTTTGGTGATTGCAACTATGATAATTTTGACAGACAGTATAGATACGATATACAGGGAATTTTTCGCCCCTGTTTTATTTTCGCCCCTTTCGCCCTATCCTCCTTTGGGCGAATTCAAAGAATAAGGTATAATTTCTTAAACTATGACTGGACGAATTTAAAACGGGACAAAATTGTTTTCAAGTGTGAAAGGGCGAAAATAACACGGTGCGAAAATAACCCTGTATACAGTAGTCATTTAAATGTATCTTTTTTAAACCATCTGTTGATAATGGGACTTGATCTCATTTGTTTGAAATAGATTATTTTCTTTTATTTCAAGATTGAAAATTGATATCTATAAATATGTAATAACTTTTTGTGTAATCAATGTTTTCTGATGTTTGATTGGTCAATGACTTCTGATAATTGATTGATTAATGCACTCTGCTGTTTGATATTTGTAGCCAATACAAAGGGATGCTGAAGTGGTTGCTGAAGATGAACAAGTTTTCCTGATGAAACAACAGAGCATTCTGAATAAACAGCCAGCACCTGGACCTGCTGGGGTAATTAACTTAAGATAAATTACTGGCAACATCTTGAGCTCAGCCAATCAATAAATAGATCATATCTGATAGTAGGGGAATTGTGAGGATTTACAATGTGCATGTGTGGGAAAAATATAATAATTATTGAGCTTTCTTAACAGCTTGTCGATCTGTAGAGTTTGCATATGCTTTAGACAATCTTTCTATTTCCTTATTTATTGAGAGGCAAATTTTTTCAAGTTATATTTGTTTCATACTAATCATCATAGGATGTATTCAGTTTTACTACTCTCTGTGACATTATATTAGAATTTTCAAAAATCCTTTGGTAAAAAGTATAAAGTCAAAGTTAAGGGTTGTGAGACATTGTTACATCAGACAACACAGTTCAAAGACAGCCATTAAGAAAGTATGTACACCTTAGGGAGTTTTTGAGCTGCATTTTAACTGAGTCATATTAACTTGCTTCTTAGAGTTGCTTTAGATTAAGGTATAGGATAGTACACTTTCTTATAAAATTCAGATTAATGCATTCTATTGTTAATTTTAGGAGACACCACCAAGACAGGCGGCTCCACCCCGGACCACTCCCCCTCGTACCCAGACCACTAACAGTACGACAACCCCCCTCACCAGCTCCCCAAAGAAGGTAACCACCCCTCAGTCTTAGCAGCAGCGCTACACTGGTCTGTAGTCAGGCTGTATAAAGAATGCATTTTATTTATGTTTCAATCGGTAACTAGAAAAAAAGGGGTTTTCTTCTGTTGTTTAAGGGAATGAAAATTAAAGAGTGTTCTAATCATGTTTGCATCTAATGAGTAATGCATGGTTTTGATGCTAGTTCATGTACTTCATATCACATTATAAAATCACTATGAAGCGAAAATATAGGCAGGAATAAGAATATTAGGTGAATTGATTGCAGTGTTATTAAAGTTGTGTAACTGTGTGTGTTGATTGAATCAAATGTTGGATTGCTGTTCTGCATATTTTCACGTAGATTGCAAGAAAAAACATTGACATTTCAGTGTTATAGTCTATATAAGTAAATTTAATGATGATGTTTTATTGCCATGGTCACAAAATAGATTTGATGTAATTATTTTAACGAAGTTTTTAAGTATAAATCTTGTAGCATCATAGTTCTTCACACTGTTGATTTTGATTTTATTTTTATTTATGTTTATAGAGACTGGTAAGTTTCCTTATTAGGTTTGACATGTAATCTCTAAATGCACTCAGTTAAATGCTTTATTTCAGCAGAATGATGTATTTTTTTAGTCTTTCATCTTCACGGACATGCCAGAAAAACATGGCGCGTCTGTGACAAGTACAATTAAGTTTTCAAATTTTCAACTTTACGGAATGCTGCTTTGACTTGAGATTTAAAGATTGTTAATGAGCATCGATTTTGATTAATTAGCATCAAATTGAGCTTTGCAGTATGCTGAGTTTTTACTGTGTGGTCCCCATGCCATTAGTATTATTGTGTTAAAACTTAATGTAGTGTACATGTCTTGTTGCCCTCTATCCAGTGAATTAACTGTGACTTGAATGTCAGCAGCATACTTGCTTAGCTCAGTAGATTTTGTATTTTAAATTCTCTTTTGATGTATTTTTTCTATATCTACATACATTTGTAACTGATTGCATTCCTCAACAAATACCATAACATTTACCTTTGAAAAAGAAAGACAAGTGAACTTGAATGTATTCCTGTGTTACATTTATCTTGCATTTAAAAAATTGTGAATGCAAATTTCAATGCTTGTTTATTTGTTATTTTTTCTAAATGCTATTTTCATTTAACAAGCATGACATTTCTTCTTTTTTTTTTTTGAATTGACACAGGAACATTTTCAGTTTGCTTGTTTGATAAAAAAGATTATAATTTCATAAACATGTCATTATTTACATGTATAATCAACTAAAGATCATCAACATTTTAATTGTAAAAATACATGTAGCACAGTTCATTTTTTTTTAAATTAAGCACAACTAAATGTAGTATGCTTATTAAATACATGTACATATACATGTAACTGGAAACATTTAGGAGCAAAAAATTAAATTAACATTGGAAACAAATATTTATTGTACATTTAGTAAGTTTTATATTTTTTCATGAAATGAAACATTAATTTTTTAATAAATGAAGTGCACTATTGTTACAGTTAGAAAATTGTTGACAGGACCAATCTTTTCTCTATAAGCTATCTATTCATATTAGAATTATGCCAGATTGCATAAATATATGTATATGCCAAGGAATTCTTCATAAATATTGTGTATTTATGCATATAATATTTCTTATGTAATACAAGTGAGCTTATTTTTAAATATATTTCCTAGTATTAGGGAGAGAAAAGGAAAAATGCACTGTTTTATATCTTACATAAATAAGGGTGCATTTATTTACATGTTATGCAGCATATTTCAATGACATTTATGCATGATGAATATGTTGGTGAAAGAGACAGTGCCCATTATGAGTGATGTAGATTTAGATTATTATTGGGGAAAGATTAATTGGAGATGGTATAAAAACAATCAATATACATGTACAACACTAATGGGGTGGGAAATGGGGTGTACAAAGCAACAGTGAGATTTTTTCAAAAATGGATCTTTAAATAAAAAAAAAAACCATTCATTGAGGTCAGAAATTTTCATGATGAAAACCAAAAAATATCAAATGAATATGTGCATGAAATGTCTGCTTTTAATATTGCAAATTCATTTCGTATTTTCTTGTGTAAAATTGAAATTGAAATTTTTGATACAGCTTCCTTAGTAAAATAGAAGTTTATATAATTTTTTAGATGGAGGCAGGAAAGGGGACTCCAACCAGCGAAGGCATGCTGGCCAACTTCTTCAACAGTCTACTGAACAAAAGTACTGCAAAGACACCAGGTGCCACAAAAGCAGGTACAAAGCATGTTAACCCCTATGGAAAAATCCCCCTTCCTCCATCTGTCCCCTGTCCCATTCCCAATCCTACAGAAATCAGACCCATTCCCATTTCAAAGTGATGATTAAAATAAATGCATGAAAATTTAAATAAAAAGTATTAACTACTTTCCAATGATTTTAAAAAAAATATGATTTTTATTATCCAACTGAAACATATTTTTGTCATCTGCAGGAGATCTAACAGGTATGAACCCCCCACACTAACATACTTACAATTCACCAGGCTTCTCTCTGCCCAGACAAGCTTCAGGAATTAATCAAATGAATCACTGGACCCCCTTTTTGAGGAAACTTAATTTTTAATTTTATTTTAACTTTTAAAGTAATGGGGTGATCAACCATGTGATTTTTAACCCATAAGCAATTGCCCCTTGTCCTGCGTCTTAGCACACACATTGTAACAATTATTTGTGATATTTAATGAAGCATGTTGGTCATGGTCTAGGTGGTAGGCGGATAAATTTGCATGCAGCAATGGATGCGGAAAGCAATAGGAATGTTTTGAGTGTTCGTAGACCCGTTATGCAAAAATCCAGAGGTAACCTTAGTAACTTGGGAGATTTGAAAACCCCAAGCAGTTTTCATGGGAAATATTTCAAGATTTCAGGATACTTAAGCAAGTTGCACTATATTCTCTCCTCCACAAGAAAAAAAAAAAAACGCTTTAAAAAAAACAACTTGTTTTTATTAGCTTTATATCTTTGCTAAACACGAGAATTTAAAATTAAAATGCACACTTTGTAAGACAGAACAGGAAAAAGAAAAGTCATTTTCATAATAATGGTCTTAAAATCCTTCATTGCAAGTTAAACCAAATTAATTTTTATTCCTGTATTAAGGATTAATTTTATTTTAATTTTTTACTCTATGAAGTTCCTCCCCCCTCCCTGTGAAAACTGCTCTAGGCTCTTGTGTAGAGTTCACTGCTCTCTATGGCTGCTGTATTTACCAATCAATGCTACTGGCTCATGCCTATTTTTATACTTATAACTTGTAATGTTTTAATCAAATCAATAGAAGTGTGGGATTTCTGTAAATTTTTTTTAACATTTTGATATTGTTTTTGAAGGTTTTGCGAAATTAAATTTGAAGGCTCGCAATTAACTTAAGAATAATTTTAAAAATGCATATGCATTAACTAAAGTATAGAGTAGGAAGCTTGACTTTGGTAAACTGAACAAAGCTGGAATCTTTTTATTGTTTCACATTTTCCCTTTGCACAAGATCAGATTGATAAAATGTCATCATTTTCTCTGCAAAAAAAATCACATGATCACTTTCTTAGTGGTTTCTTGGGTAGATTTTATGGAAGGTAAATGTAGGATAAAAGTCAGCATCTAGTAAGTTTTTCTCTGCATGTTGCCATTATGAAGAACTAAAGAATTCTGTAAAATGCTAGATCTTCTTCAAGTACACAGCTCTAGGATCAAATAAAATATTTTAATAGTGTCTTTCAATTTCACTGCATGAGTTCAGAGGTTTGAAGTGTCATTACAAATTTGTGATGTGCAAACTGATCAATAATACCCATATGCTTTTGAATTTTTTTTTAAAAAATGTGTGTACACATATATTTAAATGCAGCTAATGTAGAAGCAAAAACTAGTTGGAAGAGGCAAATTAAAGTTGGAGTAAATGGTAAAAAGCAATATATTTTTTTGGAAATTGTGCAGAAATGCTTTCAAAGTGTATTTAGTTTAGTGTGAAGAGTTTGTTTAATATCAAGCTTTGGAATATGGTCATGCACATAAGGCAGGCCCCACAACTTATAAGTTAATACTGATGAAACACTAAAATTGATAAAACATGTTCTATGACAATTTTCCAGATAAAGCTGCCGTATCACGGGAAGCTGCAGCCGAGTTGGAGCGATTGCAGAAGTCCAAGAAGATGACGCCAGAAGTGAAACCCAATGGACCGGACAGTGCTGCATCGTGAAAACAAATCAAACACCATACAGACTGACAACACAAGAGCACCTGCTTCCTGTCTGTATATAGATCTAGGGGGCCGGATGTCTATTCTGCTTCATTTTCTGTGATGAACCATATGATATAAGTATATAAAAAACATCCTGGGTGGAGAAAGTTAACCATATGGTATTCATATGATTTCATAGGTAGTTGTATGGTGGGATTTCCCTGAAATCCTCTTCTTTTTTTTTGAAGTTCTGGGTTGCCAGACTGGAGTAATAAACATGTGATGTGATATTCAGATGTTAATATTTATTCTGCACCAAGTCCCAGGTTAACTAAATCAATAAAGATGTATATAGTCTGTTTGTGTGGATAAAGAGACTAAGGCCTGCAGGTACTTTTGATTAAGAATCCTCTCCACATTTTATTTATCGTAGGAAAAGCCAGTGTATCTTATTTTTATTGAAGCATATTGTGAAAAATGGGTTGTTCTGTTAAGCTACAAGTGACGTGTTGATAGCTTTTTTAAAAGTGCTGTATTATTTATTTCCATCTTTATGATGTTTTTTGCCTACAGCCACCCACTTTGGTAGAAAATCTGGTTGAATTAAATGTCAGAAGAATGGCTGTGTCAATTCAAATGTTTACATTAAGATATACATGTGCAGAGATTAAACAGAAAAGGGAAATAAGCCAGTCATCTTTGTGGGTGAAACCATATACATGTACTTTTGCAAAAAGTTATCAAGTCATTTTATATAAAACATACAGGAAAGATTACACTTTTGTTTGATAAATTTAACTACTTAATATCAAAACTTTTCTCTTGTAATTAATATATGTAATAGTGTGTTTGATCAATTTTTCTATAAAAAAAAAAAAGGTAAAACAAATTTTGTATTCATTTATGTCTTCCCTTCAAATTAAAAAAGTTAATTTTTTTATAGTAGATAATTTTTGTTGCAGTTGAAAGTTGTTAAAGACATCACATTTTTTTTAAAATACAGTATCTCCCCTAGAAGTGCTCTTTGCCTTGAAATGTGTTGATCCAGAGGGGTACAAATGTCCATTTCCAATAATTTACACTGTCTATAGTCCTAATGGCAAGGTCCCCCTTATTGTTCGCCCATTAAATGCTTGACAAATAATTGTGCACAGAATATTTTTTTTTCAGTATTGATATTGAATTTCAAAGTGACATGGCTATGTTGGAAATCTCCCATTTATTATTTAAGAGAGAAGTTTGTCTCATATCACATGGGAAGCTATAGTGCAATATTTATATACTTTTACTACAATAATTGTCTATGTATAATGGTGCAGATGAATGCGGCAAGTTTGATTAACTCTAGAATTTTTACTTTTTTGCATAATTACATTACTGTGTGCTGTAAATGGTATTTATTGTGTATTGCTAATAAAAATTGTGCATTTATTTGAAGAATGGAATTATGAAAAGGCTGTTTAATAGTTCAGTGTAAACAAACAGTGTATATGTATCTGATTTCTTTATATTTTGCACATTTAGTTTGAAAATTACACAAAAAAAATGTTAAGAAACTTTATAAAAAATTTGGTTAGTGATATAATTTTGTACTTAATTTTTTTCCTGTAAATACATTTTATTATCATATTCTTATGGTACAGATTAGCTGCATTATCATTTAAAGGAGAAGTATGTTTCCCATGACATTTAAAAACTCTGCAAGTATTTAAAAGAGAATTTAGAATATCAAAGAGGAAACGGTTTAAGGAATAAAACTTTTTCTGTGTGCACCTTCTTTTAAAGACAAATTAGCATTAAAATTTATGAAAACATAAACATTTTTGCAGGAGGAAATATTATCAGATGACTTGATTTTATTTATTGTTATCATTTAGACACTGTGTTCGTTTTTCATTTGTCTTGCCTAAACAACATTTTATTTGTAGAACTCATGAGCTAGTCAAGTCAGTTCATAACACTGTAAACTTGTTTGAAAACAGAGATTTTTGTATTTAAACAGTCACAGCTAGACTGAAATGTTTTAAGTTCATCATAACATTCCATGTAATGTTAGGAAACAGTTAAAAAGAACAGTACCTGATTATACTTAAAAAAAGAGATATCCATATATAACAGAGAAGAATATGTTTCACAAACAAGCTCATACTTTTAATGCCTTAGGTTTTTTTTCTCCAGATTTTATAACTTTGCATTATGTTAAATACTCCAAAACATAGGAACTATTTGCACTCAGTAGCTTTAGAGACAGAAAAAAAATCACTAATAATTGCTGTATACAACAAATATAATTGATTAATATGGTTATATTTTTATGAAAAAGAAAATATTGCTGTCCAACATCAATATGAATAATGTTTTTGACAAAAATTATTGAAAAAATATAAGTTGCATTTGTGGATAAGGCAAACCATGAGAGTGGTCACAGGACATTGAATACTGAGGTGTTTGTTGACCCCTATGTTGGCCAGTTATTTATGTATACGAGATGCAAATGAAACCTTTTAGCCTATTTATTAAAGCCAAAGCCATTTTGTATTGATTAGCTACAGTTAATGGGTCATGGATTTTGTTTACTTGAAAAAATGAAATAAATGTTGAAACATCTCATTTCGTCTCATTCATTTTGTATTTTTGAGTACTCAGTATCTATTTAGTTTATATGTATTTTTTGGGGGAAAAATCATTCATTTCAAAATTTAAAGAAATATTGAGAAGAAAATCAGTTGATTAAGTATACATCCAATTACACTGGAAGACTTTGTATGACCCAATTTATTCAGAATGTGGAGTTTAAATCTAAAAAAAAAACTTTCTTCTGATGTTGGTCGATGGTACCCAAAAAACAAAACTTGATACCTGCATATATGGAGTTTATGTCTGACTCAAAACTCTGATTTATACTGACTTCGTTGTATGAATATAGGAAAGAATCATATGAGTATTTGTGTGAGTTTGAAGAAAACAGTGAACTTCAATATAATGGCTAGTATGTTGATGATGGTCATTTTGCACTTAGCATTTTTGTGCATGTGCAGGTACATTTACATTTAATGTGCCTTCCTTACCCATAAGAAACAGGCAGTTTATAACTTATTTATAGATTATCCAACTACCATCCTCTAAAATCTTGAATGCATACATATCTTTCTAATGCTTAACTGTAATTTTGTGAAATTTGGATTAGGTAACTGATTATCCGCAAATGGTCTCCCTTTGGACGAGGTAAGAACAGCGATCAAATAAAGCATTTTTTTTTTATATTTCACGTGATTATTTTTTATGACAAGATATTTCTTTTGGGTATCAAGATATGTGACCTCTTAATCTTTGAATTTTGACCTACTTTTGAAGAATTTTACTTAACTTTTCATTTACCTTGGCCATAACTTTTGAAAAATTCGTGTAAGGGCTTTCAGACATTACATGTTATTTCTCGTGAGAAGATTCTCATTGGGTACCTCTTTTTTGACTTTGATTTAAACATTGGAATATGAAATACTTAAAAAATCTTTGCCTTATTACTTCTGAACGGTTGGTGTTAGGGGTTTCATCAGCTGTTCATATTTATAGGTATATACCTTGTAAAGGAATTTTTAAAATTTCTTTTAAATTGCCTTATGATACCCGATATAGCTTTTTGCAAACATTGGTGCATGTTTCTCTTGTTATCTCTCTTCATTCTCATTTATTTCTTCTTCTCCAAGTGGCCCTATTTAAAGTGTGTATACCTTGAGTGCTCATTACCTATTTTGATATTGAGGTCTACCATCATGATGTTGACGTCTCTTTTACACCAGCTGTTAATCACAAAATTTCATTTGAATGTTTAATTATTTAATTTCTTTTTCATTGCATTATTTTGTTGTTGGATAACATTCAAGTTAACTTTGTTTATTTAACATTCAAGTTAACTTTGTTTACGCTTTATAATCCTCGAAGCGGATTATAAAAAAAGCGTAAACTGACTCAAACCAGATTATACTCGATAATATGGCCAAGAATTAAAGTCATTCCTTATAATTTAATTTTAAAATAATTAAACAACTTTCGATGTAAAATTGTGTTGCTTTTTATATATTCAAATTTACCGCGCAATAATACAACCGTAGTAACGGAAGTGATTTGAAGCAAGGGGAGGTAATAACTGATACATAGATCTAGCAGCCATGATGTTTGTTTACATGAGATAAGAACGAGTAAGTGTTTAAAAATGAAGGTACATTTATTAAATCTGGAAAACGAGGACTGGAAATGAGGGGAATGCATGGATGCAGATGATTCAGCTTGTCGTCAAGGGGCTGTGTCCCCATACCAAACCAGATTATACAAAATGTTATGCGTTCCTTTTTGGAAATCAACCAATGAGAGGCGAGAATACAAATAAAATTAAATTATAACGAATTATACGGAGATAACGAACAGTAATCAAGCTCTATAGTCTATTCAAACAATATAAATCAGAAACAGAGCAAACACGGACCTCTTTAAAAAGATTGGATCAGGTGCCATGGAGGAGTGAGTACCCTCTGTCGACCGGGTACACCCGCCGTGTGCTCCTTGCACAGGACTTGTTTCGGAGATAAATTTTTAACCTATAGTATAACAATAACACAAGGTATCTAACTCCGAATTACACTTAGTACCCCCCTCCTCGGACGCACTCATCTACAGTTTCAGAGGAAATACAATGTCAATATGTTTATTACCATTGTCCTCTACGATAATATATCTACACAACCATATATGGCATGCATGTCTTGGTTTGAGTTTATTCCCGTAAATTCTGAAAAATTTAAATGAGTGCGTTTCTGGCCTAAAAATTAGTGAGGAAAACGTCAGTTTGCATTTGACTTCATGATTGATTGTATTTGCTGACAAGGTCATTGTTTCGACCATAGAACTTAAGGAATGCTTGAAAGTAGAATGTTGATATTTCTTGTTTCATCAACTTGTTTGTCAATAACTTAGCTCATTTTAGAAATTGTTCATACGTACAGCATGCTCTTGCGCATCGAATCTGCTGAAAGATATAAACCCTTATGCAGGTGATAAGGGTATATTGCTGCATAAGTCAGGGAAGTTGATGATTGAAAAGCTAAAACCATCACACTTTTAATATTTAAAGCTTTGTTGTTACCATAAACATAAGCTTAAATTTTCCACTCATATCCAAATGTCCTTCAATTTGTCAGTCATTTTTTTCACAAGTAAGGGTTATGGTAACTGTGGGAAAACAGAAGATATATATAAACACTAAGTCTCATTGTGTTTTATGAAGGCAGCATACCTGCAAGATGAAATAATTATTGCATAAGTTTAAAGATAAAAAAATATATAGACATTTACTTCGTAAGTGATTGCTTTCAAGTTCTAAACACGTGGAAACGTATAGACCTTGAACAATTTTTGGCTAAGCAATGTCACTGCATTACATGATTCAAACATCTGTTTTAACTTTTGTATGAGATCACTAACTGTCACACAAATCATCATTTCAAATTATGCATAAATAACATCAAAAGACCAGAGAAGTGCTCCGTAGGTTATGCAAGAAGATATAAAAATTCCTTTATCGCGTTATTTTTTACTTCTCTTGGGGATATACGTAGTTAACTTACAATTGTCTTTGTTTTAAAATCATTTCTTATATACAAAGTCTTTCAAGTAGAGCCGTTATGCTGTTTATTTAAAGTATTATTGTGCATCTCATGGTCATATATTTTTTACTAGTATATTTTATACAATTGTAAACTTACATATGAGTTTTTAAAGCATTTATCACCAGGAAACAAATTACGATAGTGTAAACATGTTTGGACAATAATATGATTATAAAGGATTATTTCACTATTTGCACTTGATGGCCAAAGATAAAAAAGGAAGGAATCTTTCTTGCATAAAAACAGAAGTGATGCCAGTAAACAATACCCCAAAAAATAACCGTAAAAACTGTTAAGAACTGCTTTGAACAGAGATCTTGTTGTTTACACTATCTGCTTGTGGATTATGTAACCTAATCTAAATCTGTTTACAAGAATTCTCAAATAAGATGTTGAAAAATTATTAAAAACATTTTGATTTTTTGCCAAACATGCCTATATCTGGCGTAATTTTTCACTTCATGTGAATCAGGATACTAGTATACTTCTTGTTTCTTGTTGATAGGGTCAACGATCATCCTTTATGTCAAATCGACAATCAGATAAATCTAAAACCTTTATCTACCTTCAAAATAAAGAAATCAAAGTATCTGTGACATTTTACATACTGGTATCAGGATGTTTTACGGACTACAGACAATAAGGACAAACTGCCAATCATAGTGTAAGAAAAGGAAATGACTTCAGCTCAATTCATCCTCAACTTTCCTTATTTATGTTGTAATATTCCGCCTTCACCATGTATATGATGGTTGTGTCTCTCAGCTTATTTGCTTCTCAAGAACATGAATTGAATACACGATCATTTATTTTAAACAGAGCAGGCTAGTGACAGTCAAGTTGATGTTACATGGATTTCAACGAAGTCATTTTGTTAAATCTATAGCCGTTATTATGACCTTGTTAGCAAATGTTACCTATCTGAGGTATCTTGACTGACATGTTTGATATCAATTGTTAGACCTTTCCTTTTGTTATAAAGACTTCGGATTATTCCATCATTCTTACCAAACCATAGGTTTCATGGCAGATGTAACCGGTTGACAGGGATGTTTACTCTCACTATGCACTTCATTCCAACACTGTCACTGGGATTTGCGAATGTTCGAGTTTATACCCCTTTTTTCACAGATTTGTTTTGTTTGTAAGTTTTTGGAGATCGAGTACAGATTGTTATATTTTTTTATATATCAATCTCACGGGTTGTGTGATATAGATAAGTGTAAAGGATTGAATCATTGGGAAATTTGAGATTGATTGATTGTATGTTTTTTTAACGTCCCTTTCCAGAATTTTTCACTCATATGGAGACGCCACCACTTGCCGGTGGAGAGCTACACATTTTGTCCTATGCCCAGCACTCAGGGCCATTGAGCAGTGAGGGATCTTTTTCATGCCACCATCTACTGCGACACTGGACCTCGTTTTATGCGGTCTCCACGTCCCAAGTCCCACAGTAGGACTCAAGGATCAACTCATTACTTCACGACCTTTGAGCTGACGCTATAACCACTGTGCCACACGGGCGTCTGGGAATTTAAGATAATTCTGTCTGCATAAATGACTTACTACTCCCATGGAATTTATTATCATGAAAAAGCTCTTACATTTTACCTTTATCATTCATTTGACATGATACTTATCTATAGTACGAACACCCACAGAAATATATATTTTTTATTACATGAAACATACACTAACCGTTTTACTCTTTTTTGATTAGAATTAAGAAAAGAATGCTTGCCCATTCCTTGTGGTTTGAACGAGTTACATATTATCTCAAAAATTGTACTTGATGGCCGAAGAAAAAGAGAACAGATTTTTATTTCACAAGATGTGATTAAACAGTGCATGTTAAAAACTAGAAATATTCCAAAATTGCTTACAACAGAGACGTTACTTGAGGATTGCTGTTTTTTTCTCCCGGTTTTTTCTTTTTTTATGCTG